TCAACAGAAATGTGACTGACTTAAACAAGAATTACTTTAAACTAAGAAATATAACAGTCTGTACAATAAACCACTAGTCTGATGCTCCTGGCCAGTAAAATTATATTCCGACTAGTATTATTTGCAAAACGTTTTTTAGGGACATAAGAAATTAAGGTACCCCGAATCACTGAGAAACTGTCTGACAAAACCAAAAAGATCATCAACTCATCACTTTTGAGCTGTAGCTAAAACATTCAGTCAATTTGTTCAAATAGTTCAATGTTACCTGGGAAAAGTGTGACATAAATATTTGCCCGACGAACAGACAGATGGACAAGACGAATGCAATATAGCTAGGTCACTCCTAGAGTGGAGATAATAATTTTTTGGTTTGTTCTTTTAAAATTTTTCATAAAATCGTTCCTGAATGTAGGCATGAGATTACTAACAATTGAATTTTCCAAATCAATTGTATTTGCGAAGGGCATAACTCCAATAGTAAAATAATAATTGGGCCCACAATCCAAAATCTGAATTCACGTTTAATATCCTGATTTGAACAAACTTGAAAACTGGGCCCAAAATCAACAATCTAAATTAATGTTTAGATTCAGCATATTAAAGAACCCAAGGTATTTAATTTTTGTTAAAACCAAACGAAGTTTAATTTTAGACCCTTCGGACCTTAATGTGGATCAATTTAAAAACCGGGCCCAAACTTAAACATCGAAAGACACAGTAAGATTCGGCATATCAAAAAACCCCAATAATTCAATTTTTGATAACATCAAACAAAGTTCAATTTTGGACCTCAATCAGGACAAATTTAAAAACGGGGCCCGACATCCAAAATCTAAACACCCGGTATGTTCACCTCAAGAATTAAAGACTTTGAGTGAAACCACATAGAAATTAGCCAAGAAATAAGCAATGTATACAAAGTATTAAAAAAGTATTGTTTTTTGGCCCCTTGATGCCCCCAATTCCTAAACGATGGGGTCAACTATCCCAAAAATCAATCCAATCCTTCCTTTTTTTGGTATGGAACATTGTGGTACAATTTCAAAGAGATCCATAGTCTTATAAGTTATTGTCCAGAAACCAGATTTCTTTGAACAACAAATGTTTACCTGTACATGTGTGTGCTGTAGGTTTGATAAAAAAACAAATTCAGTTTCAATAATCAATGGAAATACAAACCTATATCCCTCTGTATGAATATTTTGCTTTCTTCGGATGTTGGTCAATGCTTTCGCCTTACAAATTCCTGAAAAAGATAAAAATGATAAATGTATATATTTACACGTACAATACTTGTTAAAACATGTTTTATCAATTTGTTGCTTTCTACATAAATCATAGTTAATTTAAACATCATAGAATTTCTGATTAATACATTTGTACAATTTGATTAGAGGGAGGGGGGCTATTCTTTCAAATAAAATTTGGGAAGCAAGTGTGTACAAGCATGGAAATAATTTGTGGGTAGCATTGCCCCTTGGAATACATGTGCATTGGATGTAACATCAAAAAGAAATATTCTATCTTCAAAATAACCTCTGCGCTAATCCCCAAACCCCAATTCATAAAGGATAAAATGGTCATCCCTTTATTGTTAGCATATTGAAAATAAAAAAAAATAATTATCAAATGTAGTTCAATTTAAACAATTTAATTGTATGACATATTAAAAGTACAGCATAAATTCAGAATGTATGGAAGGAATGTACAATCACAGGTCGAAAAGAAGACTTATATTATTTTTATCATAAAATAATCTACATGTACATATTTTGGTTTAAAATATACCTTATAGCACTGCGAATATATACTTTTTGGTGAGATAAGCAGTTTCCCTTTGTCTTTTTGTTTTGTTTAAAAAAGATAGAGCATGTACATGTAATTTTAAGCCTGAGGTCCAGGAGCACTGCCACAAAATTCTGTACACCTATTGATGAACATGATTTGTATTCAGATTGATTTCTTTAAAAACTCTAAATAATTGATTTAATTTTTATATCATGTACATTTACATGATATATAAATAAACACACAACTACAATGTATCTAAGTCACAACTAAAAACTTAACATGTAAACCCAACTTCCATCATGTCCATTCTTAATAATAATTCTGAAAGAAACATATCTATAAGATTTGCAAGGTTGAGCTTTAATGTGATCTCTTAAATTTTATTCTTAAACTTTCAACTAAAATGAACTGACACAATAAGGTTAGCTATTCTATTTTATCTGGAAAAAAACTATATTGACAGTATGCTACTACCAAATTACATTGAAGGTTAAATAAAAAAAAAACTTCTATATAGGAATTAACATTTAAATCAAATCTATCATGTTATACCTAAAAGAGCCTTCTCTTTTAATAGTTGTATTATTGGCACTTTTTATAGAAATTAGCAAAGCTTGATAAGAGTGTAGGTCTGTCTATTCACTTGCTATCCTCCATATAAAATAATAAAAACACAAGACAGACAATTACCTTGGGAGGAAGTCTTTACACATGTATACTGTTGTGTTTGGTCTATATATACATGTATAGTTTGCATGTTATTTATATTAGAAACATATAATACACTGATGTTATAAACATGAAACTAGTTATCCTTACATACAACAACAGGTATCCACATTTCATCTATATTTCTTTTGCTGTTTGTGCCTGGATACCTCTTTCAGTTATAGCAGTGCTATTAATTGGATAAAGTATAAACCGGCATCTTTTTTTGTTGTCGTCTCCAATACATCCCAAGATTGTCTCTATGTTTTGGACAAATATACGCATTGAGAGTTGAAGAATGCAGTGAAAACTTTTCATATCTATAAAAGATAAGAAGTCCCTCTGGTATTTGTATATTTGTATCACAGACTGTCCCACAAAGATGCTGCGAAACTGGCTTCTCACATTTCAAAATGGGTATGACATCCTCAGATGATCCATAATATTGAGAGTTCCAAAAAGGAGAAATATTTTGAATGGTATAACATATTATATTAGTAGGGTACATGTATTATCTATTATCTTACCTCCTATACATTTCTAGGAATATGATTGGTTAAAAGCAACCGCGTGGAGACCGTGTATATTTCATATTAGGTTAGTAGGCGGGGCTTATTTCAATACACGGTTAGTAATGGTGTTACGCTTCGCTCTCACCCAATATGGAATTTACTGACCCCATATATATCGTCTAAGGTCACTAGCACACTATGTTACTAATATTCTTTGACTGTATAAGACATCTCTAATTACACAAAAAGTATAACAACTGTTGCATTCTCAACTAATCAGATTTATGTTACTTCTTTTTTTAAAGAAGTCATATCATGGGAGATAACTAAAAAGATTCCTCATGTAGTTGGGATATCTTTATGGGTCTTCCATGAGGAAAGTATCAAAACAAACAATGAACCCTTTGAACAATTCATTGTCATTTCACTGTAATGAAAAGCAATAATATATTTATTCATTGAGTGAAAAAAAAGTGTTTAACACAAACCGTAAACTTTTAATGACAATCTTTTTCCTTTAAATTCCTTGTAAAATATTTATGGGATTATTTATTGCTATATTTTGAAACATACATGTATGGTTAAAAACAAAGCTTATATCATAGAATGTGTTCAATAGATCCTTTAAATTTTAATGCATTTTGCATGAAATTTGTCTTAATTTTGACCGTACAAAATACAGTGTATAATCAATTCACCAGCAAAAGCTATCAAACATCAATATTTTATTACATAATAATCCCTTTTAGCAAACTGTATTTTATTTTCAAGCGTTATTTAACAGTGATAAGTCTCAGAAAACACCTCTCATGTGAATTTCTCTTAACTGACACAACGTTTAAATATGGGCAGAATTCCAATTTTCATACAACAGACAATATAATGAGTTTTCTTTCAATTGTAACATATATTTTGTGATTTTATCATTGAATATATCATTATATAATGACAGAATCATTTTTTTAGATAAGGATTTTAATGAAATTTCAAAGATTTTTGGATTTCCAATTTGCTAAAAATAGAAACACCTGTTTCTAAAGAAAAAGCACGAACAGATATAGATCGAAACACTTTCAAAGTGATTGGATCTTCCAACAAACAACATAAAAAACAAATCTCAATAGTTTCTTCTGGACAATTTTTGACATTTTGCATGGTTTTCTCTGAGATCAGCTCTTTAAAAGTACAGCCAGATTCAGACAAGAATCCGTACTTTGCACGCAAGTGAGAAATATATTTCGTTATGTAAAATGATTTACAAAATTTAAGAAATTAGATCTCATTGAAGCAATACCCATTAAACAAACGCGTTTTAAAAAGCTGATAAAGTCGAAATCTCCAATCAACTTGGGTGGGAGAGGGGCCTTGGTTTATTCTCGAGATTTACAATTTGTTTGGTTTCTAAAATTATCTAAAATAGCAGTTAAAACTCATCAAAACTACAAGGCTAGTAATAAGAAGTGTAGATAACCAACTCATACATGTTTTTCTGTCTAAAAGCGTTTAATTTTCATTTTTACCTATTGTGTCTGTTTGTTTTGTTCACACATCCTTGTCAATATAATGGAATTTGATGCGACTGTCATACAAGTGAGAGGTTTAGCTAGATTTTAACAAAACGCATTTGAATAGCAGGTCGAACAACGGATCACCAGATGTAACAAAATGGATCTTAACTATTAATTTAATATCAAACAGAAAACAATAAACTTGCGGAAAAGATGGTATATATACATGGCAGTCAGCAGGGTTTAAGAACATCCGTTGTTCGACCTACTAGTCAAATGCGTTTTGTTAAAATATACTTTTGACTTTTTAGGTCTTTTGGAAAATGTTGTTTGTGCTGTATTTAGAACCCTCTACCAAGATATTTGTTTTGCATGCACACGTATAAAAATTGCGGTTTTTATCCAACGCAATCATAGGTTTGAACGTATTTTTTAAATTTAGACTTGTATATATATAAGATATTGCTATTCTTGACAGTCATCCAATACATCTTGAGAATTCCAGACGGGGTGGCTATGAATCTGTTGTCATAGACGGCGAATTGCCTGTCATTTCTTCGGAAAATAACGGAAATGATTATGATGATCTTGAAATAGTTACACAGCATAATAAAGAATACATGCATAATCAAAAACAAGAGGAAGAGAACAGGAATAAATCGTACGTATAAAGCTGAAACAATAAATATTCTTAATGCATGAATCCAAAAGAACTTTAAGCTACTGAAGCTAATTACTACAAGTAATATTATAATAGTCGATTTGCAGACACAAAAATGCAAACATTGAAACTAAGATTAACGTACACATAACATTACAAACTTTATGTTTTGACGACGATGTCACTCTTGACGTGTCCTGTTGCGTGTATATTTTAGAACATGTACTGTTTTCAAAGTATGTTCTAAAAAACTTACTTAAATAACGTTATTCATAAGTTTTCATGTACGAGTTACAGAAAACACTGATGTTTTAAGAACATTTTGAAGTAAGTATAACAATCTTATCTTTATATCTAAAATGCATCTTCTGAAATGTTAAAAACAATGACTTCACCCAACCACATTGTCTGCATATATCAAGTAAGGCTATTTGTAAGAAGCTCGTGGTTATTTGTCATTGTTTTATGTCATTTTTTGGTTGAGTAAGGTGTTTGTGTGATGAATTCTAAAATAGTTTGGCCTTAATCATCACTGAATGTCAAAATGCCCATCTAATACAATGAAATTGTTGCCGTTAGTGTTATCAATTAACTGATGTTTTGGCGTATTCAGGCCTTTGTTCCTTAAAATCTTTGAAACCATTTGTCTGCAGTGTGTAATTTTCAATTGTTAATAATGAATAATTTAGCTTTGTATATGTATACCTATAATTCTTATTAATCCAAAATTTTAACGTCCTACCCTAATTATAGCTCAATCATAGTCTTTCATCTTTCAACAAATGTTCACGTCATTGCATGTTAATGATTCATCCTTGTGGGTATCACTTTGTGCTGATACGACGAAAAACATTGATGAGGTCATGACATTCAAACTTATTAATATGTTACAATGTATTCTATTATTATCGAGGTGCTAAAGTTTTTCCAACTACTGTTTGCTTAGTTGATGAATGTATGGTGATCTTCATGTGTTTGATCGGTTTTTTCACTTCGAATGTCAGATGTTAGATTGTCAGAGACCGAAATAGTTAAGAAATGAAATTCAATTTGATACTTTTCTAGTAGATAATACGGACTTGTCCATGTCGTTGAATGAAAGATGATACAAAACACTAATACGATGTCAAATCATAAAATGGAATGCATGCAACATATGACCAAAGATGATAATAACAATAAATCAACATCAAAGTCAATTATATATCAAAAAGAACATACAACAAATACGTTAGCAACATAAAGCAATTGAAATCATGCATTCATCATCAATTATCATCATTGTATTCGTAAAGATTCTACAACAGGTAAATTTCATGAAAAAAACAACCCCTATTTGCATTCAATTTTGTGTGAAAGCGGTTACCATGTAATGTACATTGGCTGTATTTGCAACAAAGCAGGATTAGGACATCTCAAATGGAAGACCCTGAATTGACCTCTTGTGTTTCTAGTTCTATAGAATACTAATATGAACAACAGTTTAAAAATGATGTTTAATTTCGTTAACAATCAAATTATGAATAAAGTCATCAAATACCACACATTAGAAAAGAAATGGTCACGGTTTTGCTTTGCTTTGATAAAACATGTAGACATTACTAAAAATGTTATCAGGATTTTTATCGTCAACAAGAATGACGTCTGTTTCACTCTTTATCAAAATATTTCAGACCTGTTCAACAAGAAACCGTCGAATATGCGCAGGTAAATGAGGCAACAAAGTTTAAAAATAAAACAAAACATAATGACAAAGATCAACCAACATTAGACGCAAACGCAGAAACACAAGAAATGATTAACATTAAATCTGAAGAAAGAATCCAAAAACATGACGAGAATGCTGACCAGTTTGATACAACAAAGTGAGTAAATCTAGTTTACCTAAAACCTGTATCATTCAGTTTGTCATAACTTCATGTCTTTCTCCATTGTCAATACAGATCTAATAAAACTATATAATTATCAAAAGTTAAGAAAAACAAATGCAGTCAAATAAACGAAAAGAATAGAAACAATGTTAATTCAGTATAGAAAACAAGAATTTTAGCTTTTGTCAACTCAAATTTAAACAGCAAAGCAATAGAAATGTAAACAGTAAGTCATCAGTTTTAAGAAACCATATAACATGCAACACCAACCAAACGTTTGATGATGATGGAAGGCTGCTTAATGTCCAACGGTAAATTAAATCAAATTTATGTCAATATAATATGAATGTTAACCCTGCTTTGTACTAGACCGACACGATGAGCTGACTTATTACATGTATTAACGTGCTAGTCCACAAGGTAACAGTCCTTCAGGAAGACATGTCAACCTACCCAGACACATTATTCTAACTCCGACACCAGTCTTTGCTCTTACTCCTTTATGTCGTGTGCTAAGCGGAGAAGCAGCAAATACCAATTTAAAAGTATTTTGCTTGACCTGGTTCGACTGTGAAAATACATCGTATCAGTCAACACATTCGTGATGGTGAAACTCTTGTGTAGTGTCATTTTCAGTCGTTCTTCCTCATTACGCTGTTTTTACAGTTAATGTGTAAACAACAAGTCTATGTTAATTCTGCATAGTGTGAATATGCCTGAATATTACATCTTAACTGAAAGATTAATTTAACATGATGTAGCGGAGTGTATGTTACTGCTGAGAAATGGGAATTTGAAAATTGAAAAGTTGAAATCATCACGTTTGTCATATATTTTAGTTTGAAATCGTCCAACTGTGTCAACATCGAAGTTAAAATCAAATTATTAAGCAGACTTCCTGCTTTGGTTAGTATTCTTAATCCCAAGCTCACTAGGATATTTGAGATGTGAGGACTCATTTGAATGTGGATTATTAAGTGACAGAAAATCATCAATTTATCTGAAAGTGAAATTAAAAAATTTGCAGGATGCTTTTCTTTTTAGACTGTCTATAAGAATATTTTGTATGAATTCTGCTTTTTAATTGTTGAAAAACATCTCATATATATTAATACAAAAAGACGCTCGTTCATGACAGAAAAATATGAATATAAGAACATATACTTTTTCTGTTATACACACAAGCTATATAATCTACAAATGAAGTCTTTATTGTAGAACCGTATAAGAAAAAGTTCGATATTGTTGGCAGAACCCTTAAATTTAAATTTGAAAACCCAATAAATCTGTATGATAATATTCTTATGTTTCTTTTTTTCACGAAGCAACGGGAAAAACCATGACGAAGCTGATTCATCACTTAAAGATAGTCAGAGGGCATGCAACATCAAAACATTTGCACATGGTGGCGAAGGAAAAACCAAAGTAGCTAGGGTTTGTCCATCTATAAGATCGTTGGCAAGATCTGAAGATTATAAGCAACAAGGAAACACAAATGCTGAAATACAAGATGAAATTAACGACATATCTGGTCAAACGGTACACAATGATGAGTACGTTGATATAACAGAGAATCTAAGGTGAGTGATGACTGCAAAATATGCTTTAGGCTGTATTGTACACTTAGTCAAACTGTGTAAAACAAGTGTACGCTAGTCATAATGTTTGTTCAAGACATATGTTATCCAAATTAGAAGAGCCAGAAGTCACATCATTATAGATAACTGTCATGTCAATAAAGGGAAAATAACTGTCATGTTAATAAAGGGGAAAAGAATTGTCATGCCAATAAAGGTAAAACAACCGTCATGTCAATAAAGGTAAAACAACTGTCCTATGCCAATAAAGGTAAAACAACTGTCAATTCAATAAGGGGAAAACTAACTGCCAAGTAAATAAAAGGAAAATGCTTTTTGGCATTTGAAAACACTTACGATAAATAGTAGCAAAAAAGATAATATAATTAGACGCCAACCATCACACAGAATTGAAATTTGTTTGTTACTTTTTAATTGTATTTATGTGGTTCTCGATCCAATGTTTCCCCTAGGATTTCATTTCCCCAAATATGTTGTCATATGGGTGATATATCATAATACATATACTGTATTTATTACTATATAAACACAACGATAAAGTTTGACAATATTTTCTAAATATTCAGCGATGCAGGGGCTGATCAAAGGCTGAACTAAAAAGCCTAGAGAGTTATTGGATTAACTCATTGAGGGAACTGTTTTATCAACCTAAATATATCAATCACCCTTGTATAGCAATATTTATTTTCAACGTATCTGGAAAATAATTTGTTCTAGTAATTAAAAATTGATACACGAGAAATTTAAATTCAAATACAAACTTCAATTTTTCACATAGTTCAGAGCCTAAATTAAAGTTCTACGACCAATTACCAAATTTCATTAGAATCAAAAATGCATATATTTCTGAATGATAATTGAAATAACACCAAATAAGCGTGTTACGTATGACAATGTATAATTCTTTTCTTAATAAAATTGAGAATGGAAATGGGGAATATGTCAAAGAGACAACAACCCGACCAAAGAGCAGATAACAGCCATCTTGATCGCTATTTACTAGAAATGACCGTTTAATAATTAAAGGAAGTTTGCAAACAATATATAACCAAATTATTCACTAACTTAAATTGTTTTATATGTCATGTATGTTCGTGAGATGATAACAGTATACCAAATGAGTGTAGATAAAAAAGTAAAAATGCAATCTTCAACATCGAAACATGTTACACTTTTAACATATTGCTAAAGGACCAGGTTCACTTTTTCCTGAAAATGGCCCTTTAATTTAAACATGTAATAAAGTATCAAAAGACCACACTCTGGTTTTAAATGAATCGATTTTAAAAGCCTGAACGCTGAGTAAAACAAGTCTTGTCATTAGGTTGCATTTTATCCTCCAAAGTAACCACAGTTTGAAGATGTTGTCAAACTTCACAGAAGAAGGACGAAAGATAACAAAAGGACATCAAACCCATTGGTCGAAAACAAACAGTCAAGGCGTTGACAAAAAAATTAAAAAAGGACCAAAAGACAAACAAGAGTATACAAAACACCACATAAAAAACTAAAGCCTGAACTCCAACAAAAATCGATATGTTTGTGCCTTTTTTGGACATTCAAGTTTCATGTAAACCTTAACCGTTACATACTATCGAATATGTTTTGTAATCAAATGTACCAAAGTATTTCTGAAACCCCTAGTTTTCTAGATCAGGGGTTGCAGCTCACCTCATATATAGGCTGATCAACTGTTATAATTAGGGATGAAACGTATAAACAGTGATATTACAACATACATAATAGTGCATACTTTTAAGATTATAAGTTTATTATCTATAACGCGGTAAGCCAAAAGAAGTTGCGTATTTTGTATAGCTAGAAAAGGCTCTCATAATCAAGCGTTTAAGTTTAATATCCATCCGCCTGTATATGGTATGCTTTATATGACCTTATTCAAAATTCGTTTTCTCTTTTATGTAATACAGAAAACAGCAAACCAATGGTGATCTTGAATCTTCAAACAAATATAACCAGATAGGATCGTACATAAATCCAGAATTTGAAAGGAAAGAATATCAAGAAGTAGATTCAGACTCTCCTCCATGTCGATCATTCCACGGACTTCAAGATGAAGGACAAATACATCAAAACAGTGATAAGCAGCCTAACAACGATAACGAAAAGGTTCACATCTAACCGAAACATTAAAAAGAGATATCATTCATTGAAGCGCAAATTTTAAGTGGATGCTAGTGCACCTGCACATTTTTATTAACATTTTTTATCAACAATAGATATCTAAAGGTCAGCATTAGATTGACTGATAATGCCAAGACCATTGCAATATAAGGTGTAAGTGAATTTTAAAGTCATACCTGATGTGTTCAATGCAATGAATCCGATCTTTTATAACACTGAAATGCAATGCCTTAATGCATTTCTGATGACATGTTGTAGAATACATTTCTATATTTCTACCGTCGCCTTTATTTAATTGATGTGTTTTCTGCACGAATATCAATATTGGGACGAAATGTAAAGCTTGTCATATTGTATATACACCTACTCATTGTTGACGACTATATGTTGACTTAAATATTTCTTTATGGGGATTGTGGTATTGGGTTGCTTTCTTTAACGTATGCCCATGGTGTTTACGTTCATACTCATACGTAATAGATTGCAAGTGCACATATTAACGACATGATTTCATTAAGATTTCAATTTTGATCTGAAAATATCATATCTGAAAATTGTCATGATCTCTGAATCCTAAGTGAAAAGACAACACTTTTAAAACAAAAGGTACACTATTTTATTAACATAATAAAAAATGAAACGAATTCAAGAGTCCGATAAAACAAACTATTTAAAGTGTGCTGCTCAATGTGTTATTTTATTTTCAAGAGGATTTCATAATAATCGATATAAACAAGTCTGTAATACATAAACTAACATATACTTTAAAGGAGATTAAAGAGTAAATACATATCAAATGTCAAAAGGGGACTGATACATGTATGTAACACAAGAACGAAAGAAAAGAAAAAGTTGAAATACAGACACGTCTGCAAAATACTGCGTATAAAACTTTAAGTTAACATCACAATGCAGGGATATATAGTTCCTGTTCCACTTGTGGCATTCGACGTCTTGCATATGACATGTCTTATACCGAAAATAATGCCGTTTTCGTTTGGTGAAAAATCTTCTACTTGATTAGAAGAACTGAATTATGATTATTTAGTACTTAGTTTGATGAATGAAGAACCCTTGCAATCTAAACAAGTTTACATTCCTTTTCAATTTATCCTTAACGTTTTTAAAAAGAAGACTAGTTCTTAATGTAAACAAATCATCCATGTATATTCGGGTTTTTTTCGAAAGAGGGGGGGGGGGGGGGGGGGGTAAAATAATAAGAAATGCATACCACTGAAAATATTTTATCAAAGTGTTGAGTGACGTTTTTGTAATATAAATATATTTTTATTATGCACATATATACAATGCTAGTGTTACTTTTTTTACCTTTGTTTATATCTATTGTACCTTATCAATAATGTCTTTAATATATACATACTACTCAGGAGGACACATACAGTATTGATGTGGATTGGGATTCCAAAGAACGTCACTGTTATCATATATTTGTGTAGTTACGAATATGATAACAAGTGTAGCAAAAACAGTTACTTCTAATTTCCTGTGTTATTTTGTTTTATTTTATAATTTAAATGGTTGTTTTAACATGTAACTTATGCAAATAGTCTGGATGTATAACACCGTGATTGCGAGGTAGACAAAATGTGCAAATAATAATGAAACGATATACAAGGAAGATTTCTAAAGAAAAAGACAAAATAGCTTTAATATCTTTTAATAGCAACACTAATACTAAAGCTGAAACACACACAAATACCAGAATGATATCTGTGCAAATTCTTCATAGAGTGCAATATATATATCACGTGTTGGTCTTTGCCGTTTAATCGATAAGACCGCATCCCAATTGGTTTTAAGTGAATAGATTTTTTGAAGAGCGCTTTGACTATAAACTAGCGACGCAAGATAGAAATTTTCATAAAGCAAATATAAATTTCTTTTATTAAATTAAGGGTCAAGTGTTACAAGTGTACTTTAATATTTCGTAACCGATTAGAAAATACTAGTTAACCGATGGTCAAAAATAAAAAAGGAATTATACAAATAACGATAAAAAACAAAACTGAGGGAATCCGATGAACTCCAAAAAAAGACCGAGAAGGTAAGCGTCTTCTTCTATACCAACGTAAACAGACACATTTTTTGTTACATTGATGTAAAACAAATGACAAGGCTTTCCAATCTTTAATTATCCATCATTGTAAAGACATTTTAAACACTTAATATGCTGTACATGTATATTAGCCTATTGATAACACTATGGATTTGTTGACCGCATATTTCATATTCTGCAATATTAAAGAGTTGAAAAACTTATCCATTTCTATCAACAACTTAGTTCAAATACTGCTATTATACACTCATTTATATAATTTCCTTAACACTGTTCTGTATAGTTGCATCAATCATTCATATCTATGGATACCTTGTGATGATTATGTATATTGCCTATTGTTAGACATGTATTAGTCTGAGTGTTTCTTAATAATATGTTATTGTATTTTATTTTAATAATTGATACAAACATAAAGTTAACTTTTTGTCTTGATTTAAATCTAGTTATTGGCAATGAGGTTCGTTTGAATACTTACGTTTCCAGAAAGAGATGTTTTCAGCATTTCTATTGCAAATAAAAATAACACTTTATTCATTTCTTGCGTATGAGAAGTCAGCTTAGGAACATTTCAGGGTTTACACATGTAGTATCTATCTCCGTGCTGTAATACTAGGACCCTATCTTAATTTTCATTTAAACAATATGCATCCAGAGATATTTAAGGTGGTTACTGTGTAGCTGTCATCTGTTTCGAACTCCTTATCGAAACACCATCATGATTTGGATCACTTAACTCTTGACGAAATGCGGATAGGATATTATGCTTAAAAATAATTGTTTTTTTTTTTTGTCTTATTTAGATTTATTCACAGTTTTTTTGCAATTTTGTCTGTTTGTTTGCATTGTGTAATTTGGTTATGTTATGATTTTGGCTTCTGGATCCCAATTTTTTTCACGTTAAATAGTATGTCTGTTTGAGTTGATCACACTATATTTGTATCACAAAACCAAATTCAACTTTATATTACAAGTTTGAGGTATAGCTAGCTTTAAAACTATGTTTAACACCAGTAATCTAAACTATCGTCTTAATTTAAACGACCTTTTCCTTTGAAGTCATATGACAGTTGTTTTCCAGTCGTTCCGTTCGTTACATTGATGAAGTCGAGCGTTTTGTTTAGTTAGTTTATATTGACTTCCCCTGTTTGAATTTACCTTGGAGTTTTTTTTTTTTTGTTATTACATATCTAACTGCAGACAAAAAAAGCAAACTATCGCATCTTCATGCAACAAATAAAATCTTGCTCTGTGTTTCAACAGTAGAAGAAGTCAATTATGAAATGGTTTTCTAACGACAGATATATCTTAATAGTCGGTAGGTAAAGCTAAAAACAGTAGTTTATACAAAAGTAGTAAAGAAAAAACATATCAAGATATCAAATAACAACAGAGAGAATCAAATGAACTTCAAAAGAATCAAGATCTGTAGGGTGGACAGGGTTAGCGGCTCTTGCTATAAATTAATCACTGGCCACACAAACCAACAATCCGGGATAGGACACAATGCGTATATGATAAACTGAAGTTGGTACTGTTGATGTTATTAATACTATTTGTTAGTTACCCCTCCTGGTGAAATGTTTGTCAACGAAGGTATCACTATCCCATTAGCCATGTTCGCCAATATTTTGGTACTGGCATGGAAATTCGAATATTGGTTTATTAAAATTTGCTGTTAGAGTAAAAGTAAAAATTTGAAAATACTTTCAAAGTAAAGAATGTGTCTTCTATGATTTTCAGTGCGGGTTTCCCTTTAATTTTGATCCTTTTTTGTTTATTCATTGCTTCAACATTTGTTTTATGTGTACGATTTTCAAATGGTATCGCCTCAGGCATCAATGAAGGGACCTTATCTGCGGATCTTGTGTAATGTCATCGTTTCCGCCAATTTCATTCTTTGTAAATTGGTGAAATAGAAAAGATGTTTACATTCATGGCAGAAGTGTCCACTTGTTTGTGCAAAGTTTAGGAGAATGAAGTTATATTTGGAGTATTGTTATTAAAAATATGAGTATGATATATCTTTTTTATCTATTTATCATCAGCTACATATGGTTTTTTTTTTTCATTTGAACCTTTGAAACACATGTAGGTGTTTTGTATTATTTTTAAATGACTTTATATTATTTATGAAATAAGTGTATGCTTGCTTTCCCTATAGACACACATAAAGAACTAAATATTAAACAAAAATGTAATTCCACTAACAAATCTTAGGGCGAAGAATAGTTTGCTTCTATCATACATTACTGTTTTGTTCTTATTGTTATTTCAAAAAGGAGCAAAGAACAGAATGTGAGAATAATCACTTATACGAAAAAAAATAGTCGTGACAGTCAGACATTCATAAATTATATTAGTTTACAATATAATGAACTGTATTAGTGTTCGCATATTGAATCATGGATAGAAGAAATAATAATCATTAAATTTGCCTTTATTCCTTTCAACACAAATACTAAGATTAAAAGGTTAGATTTGTTTTAAATTTTGCTTGGTTTAAATGTTTTAACCTTTCTATTCGTATATCATTATCATAACTGGTTTTTTTTCCTAATGGATGTGTGATATTTGAACATGGGTGAACTACTATCGTCTTAATTTATACACGCACATTTCAAAGCAGCAATTAAAAGGTTTTGACCCTGACAGACTATAGAATTTTAATGAATTGCTGCACGCAAACATTTAAAATTTTAATAGTTGTTATATTGACATAATAATAAAACTTTTAAAGTGTAAAGTTCAAACATTATTCATATTGTTATCAGTGAATGTATCTTACACATGTTACACTGATTGCATGGGAAAATAATTATAACCTTTAATTATGTTGAAGCTTTACAGTCTTTAGTTAAACATATTTATATTATTATATTTCATGATATTTTTTAAGTCCCATTCCTACAATATGGAATTATATTTATGAGGAAAAGTACACACATTTAATTTGCTCTCCGTCCCGAAAAACGTGTTGCTGAAACAACGTGTATCGCTCTTCTCTTATATCTGTACTGTGTTTTACTTTCCTAACATTCAATATCAATACTTTGTAATATCAAATACATGTACCCAAAACTAGGTTTACAAAGATCACTAACGTCATAATATTTAAAACGCTATGTTTAAGTTTGACCCGAACTGATAATAGTCCTCTTCCGGTCCACTGGTGAAACAAGGCAAAAGGCTGGACACAATATTAAGCCTTTCAGTACGACGTTAGCTGCGCTTAATCGATAAACACTTAATATTGTGACTCGCCGCTATAAAATGTGCAGAAAACTTTATAATTGGTACTTTCCAGTTATGCACAAAACCAAACGTGAAATAACACAAAACACAATGAAAGAAAATAGTGATGTAGAAAAAAGTAACTATACACTATGCAACCATATTTGAAAGAGGGAGAAAGCAGTTTTGTTTGTGGAGCAAGGGGGATTTGCTACATTTAGTTTTAAGCAACTGGATATTATATAATTCGTTCTCATATTATTCAAATTGATTTATTTTTCATTCCTGACTGGTAATTCTAGAAATTTTTATCGAGTTATTAACCTGTAATTCGTCATATTATCTTTGCACGATTTTCTTCAATGATTTTCCTTCATTGCATTATCAAAACAATAAAGTTCGGTTTTCTAGTACCAATAATTAAATTATTGTCTTCCAAATTTCATAATCAGCTTTTGAGCATTACTGACTTGTAATACTTACGAAGTTGCAGCATTTTGATTTTAATATCATGACATTTTATAAAGCATTATAATAAATATTAAAAACAAAGTAGTATGACTTTATTAATTGAAGCGCATAGTCATTGATAATGATAAAGATAATATGCTTTTCAAAGCCCGATATGCATGAGTTTAAGGTCACCTTAAGTAGTAAACGTGAAATATTAAGCATAATAAAACAGGTATTACTATATATCATATGCCTATTGATAGAGATGTTAAATCTATGAAAGAGATGAACTGTTACTGTTGATTTAGAAAACTAGAAACTGTTGAAGGCATTTGCATAACGTGCTTTTTTTGTGGTTTTTTTTCAGAGGCTGTAATAAATGCAAGGTTCATAAATAAAATATGTAAACGTTTTAATTTTTGGCAGCAGAAGAATGACCAAAGCAATACATGAAAAATTGGCGTCCAATCAGTCTTTTAAATACTATTTACAAATTAGCATCAAGTTACATTGCAGAAACGATAAAATCGGTTTTATCAATCTTAATTAATAATGATCAGACAGGATTTATACCTGGTAGATTTATTGGTGAAAATACCAGATTGATATATGATTTACTACACTATACCGAAGAAAATGATATCCCAGGCATTCTTCTCCTCATTGATTTTGAAAAAGCTTTTGGTTCTATCTCCTGGATTTTCATAGAACAGGTTCTTGATTTTTCAACTTTGGAAATTCCATAAAACAGTGGGTTAAATTTTTTTTTTTTTAAATACCAAATCAGCAGTAACACAGAATAATTTTCTTTCAGAATTGTTTACAATTGAGAGAGGTTGCAGGCAAGGAGATCCTTTTTCCCCTTACATCTTTTTGTTATGTGCTGAAATTTTAGGAATACTACTTAGAAAAAACGAAAATATTAAAGGTATTACTATTGAAGACTCAGAATTTTTGATATCGCAATATGCTGATGACACCACACTTATTTTAGATGGTTCATCAGAATCCTTAGATGCATCTCTTTGTGTTTTAGAATTATATGCTGAATGGTCTGGTCTCAAGATGAATTTAGAGAAAACAAAGGTAGTTTGGATTGGGAAAAAGAAATATAGCCGAGATACAATGTGTGCAAAGTGGGGATAGGAGTGGGGTTCCAACAGATTTACGCTCCTGGGTATTAAATATTCGGTTGACTTACAAGAAATGGAAACACTAAATTACGAACTCAAACTTAAAGAGATAGAAAGAAGAATGAAAAGTTGGTCAAACAAATATTTATCCCCAATAGGAAAAATTACTATAATTAAAAGTCTTATAATTTCAAAACTCAATCACTTATTTTTTACTTTACCAAATCTTAACAAAAGATAACTTAATCAATTTATTAAAAATTTATTTTATTTTATTTGGGATGGTAAACCAGACAAAATCAAGAGAAACAATTGCTCAAGTATATGAACTGGGTGGACTTAACATGTTAAATCTAAAACAATTTATAAAAGGATTAAAACTAACTTGGATAAGAAGAATAATTAAACAGACTAATAATTATTGTAAATTACTAACTTGTTCTGAAAAAAATTAATTAAATGAATTGCTCTATGTTGGTCCAAGAACACAAGTAAGAAATCCGTTTTGACAGGAGGTTTTTAATGCTTGTACTGAACTCCAAACTAAAGTAGCTGTTAAGAACGAATATGATTTTACCGCATCTAATCTTTAGAATAATAAACAAATTAAGATTGGTAATCAAATCCCTCTGTATAAAAATGGACTAAAAAGGGAGTCTGGCTAATAAATGATTTAATTGATAATGATGGGCATTTAATGAACTGGCCGGAATTTCAACAAACATATAATATTGATACCAACTTTCTTATATTCCAAGGAGTAATCTCAGCAGTTAATTCCCATATGAAAAGTCTTAATATTAAATGTAATGAGCTTTTAAAGCTTTATGGGCCAATTATACCAACTACTATTGCTATATTTTTGAAATCTACAAAAGGATCAAAAGACATGTACAATGTTTTAAACGAAAAAATAACAAATATCACATCACAGGAAAAGTGGTCCGTAATCCTAAATAGACATCATATTATTTGGAATAAAGTATATAGACTGCCTTTTTACATTACTAAAAATTCAAAATTACAGTGGCTCAAATACAGGATTAATTACAGAATTTTGGAAACAAATAAATTACTCTACAACATTAAAGTCACACAAAACAATAAATGCACTTTCTGTACGGACTCGACAGAAACTATAGAACACACATTCTGGACATGTCCAAAAGTATTTGATGTTTGTGAAGAACTAAATAAATGGATATATTCAAAAGTCCAAATTGAACTACCACTTAATTTAGATATAGTTTCATTTGGGATTTTAGAAGAAACAGAAAAAACTACATAAGAAACCTCATAATATTATTAACTAAATATTATATATACAAAACAAAAATGCAATGTGGACAAGTAAAAATTGTAGCCTTAAAAAATTATCTTCAAGAAAATTTGTTTATTCACAAAATAATATTTTATAAAAATAAACCATTGCAAAGAGCGTACTCCTGCTGGAACCCCTGGCTCCAACTAATAGAATGACTATACAAGTTAACTTTTACGTAATAAATATATCTACCCAATCCATGCTGCCCAGGTTTAGTTTCTCTTTTTTTACCATTATTATTATTTACTTTTAAGCTTGTTAAATGATTCAAAATATCATCTTTATGTACTTGTCTCGATTTTGCTGATGTACTATGGACTTACTTACTATGATGATTTATATATGTAGTTTTTGCCAATAAACACATTACAAAGAAAACAAATCAGCTGTCTCTAATCTTGAATTGTATTTCATAAATATTACCTCTTATTTTGTATTTTGTTCAGAGCATTTATCAACAAATACGACTAATAACATTGATATTTAATTGCAATCAGCAAAACGACGGATTCCAATATACGCCTACAACTGCATTTCATATACTTCTTATGGATTCCTGCTTTCACTAGGTTTTGTGTAAAGTATGTTATGTCTTTCTTTATAACGCCTATTACGTATGCTCATGGTTGGTCTTTGATGACTAATAGATTTGATAACCATTTGTAGCTTTCAAAGATGAAATTTTTAACATAAACGGTCATACTTGTAAATTTGTGTATGAATGTCTGACACCTGTCAAATCTTCAGGAATTTGTATTATAGTTTCTTGCTCTTTTTCCTGGATCTCTGAGACTACTGTCATGTATTTCCTGTTTTCATCTTCAAAATCTTCTGTTTTAGAAATCTGAAATATTTCATTGTTTGGGCACTGGTTTAGCGGTCCTGGCCTCTCGTACGATGTTTGATCATCAATTGTATCGTAAGAATAGATTTCCTGATTGTTTGATTTAACCGGATCATTGTTCTTGTTATTGCGCCTATTTTCATCTTCACAATCTTCTCTTATGGAAATTTGATCCATTTCATTGTACGGACGTTGGTCAAGTGGTCCTGTCTTCTCGTACGAGGAAATATCATCAATTGTATCGTAAGTATTGAGTTCCTGGTTGTTCAATTCTGTCGAATTGTTGTTCTTCTTATTGTGTCTACATTTATGACTGCAAAAAGAAAACAAAACACATTTAAATAATTTAATTCTAAACTTGAAGTTATAGTGATGAATATAATGTACATTACTCGACAGTTTTTACATTTAAACCATCAAAATCACTGTTATAACACATTTCCAAGAGAAGACTGATCCTGACAACCAACACATTACACTGCACGAGTTGTTTTGTTCGTTGTGCATGATTATTAATTCAGTACAGTCATAGCAAAATAATAGTAGAATTGCGAAGAACAGTTTACAGAAATATTTTGTTTGGCTAAATTTGAATCAATCAAGATTACAAATGTCTTAAATTTAAGCATTCTCTTCTTCCAATTTATATCAAGAGAATCAGCTGTAAAGTCACTGATAGTGCAACTATATAACGTATATGATTCGTTAATTATAAAGTGTAACAAAAACTTACTTGTGAAATATCCAAGTCACAAGGAAGATAATTATGACAACTAGTAACCCACATAAAACAGCAACGATGGTAGGAACTAAAAAATCATTAACAATATTATAACATGCATGAAGTACCTTTACAATCAATTTATTATTCTATCAATAGAAAAAAAGAACACATATGTGCATGTGTTGACGTGATCGCTAAATCCATAGATAAAATAGATAACCACAAAATATGTTGATCGGGATTTGAAGACTGTTTGAGCTAGTTCGCCCGGCGTCCAGTTATGACTAAGTTTGTTGATGATGACTTCTTCATAGCAGAATCGTATTCATAGTCATATCATTTTGATCAATACCCACAAAATGTGTCATAACATAAACCTTTTCGAATGATACATAATACGAATATTTGTTTATGTATTTATTTAATGTATTTTTTTCTCATTTTACGAGCGATCGAAAGTTTTTTTTTCTCAAATATTCTTTTTTGAAAGTCATCTACTTGTACACATTTTTAGCAATAAAGCGCAGTAGCACTTACTGTATTTATTCTCAAAATCAGAATACAAGTAAACTCATATTGAAATAGAGAAATAAAAACTACTAAAACTTTACAACAAAGTTCGTAATATATAACTATTTCGCATTGTATTAAACAAATTTGAACATGTTCAAGTAAACTATTTAGCTGATAATATTGCTGCCAATTAATTAAATGTATCAAGAATGCAGTTTCTACTTAATTTTATAAAAGCAAATTCAGCTGTTTGAAAGATACCTGTTTTAGAAAATATATAGTGTTATTCAATTTAATCAAATTATCCAAACCTTTCTTTTTTAAACCTCACTTTTGACTAAATCAAGCAACGTAAGCCATGTTGAATTTTCATGATTTTTAGAATAAAATTTATTTGCAACTCTATCAACTTTCCTAATGTAGGTAATTTACGTGACTGAAGAAAAAAACGTGGTCATAATTGATTATATTATAAAAAAGGGTATGGGGTATGATTGCCAATGAGATAACTATCCACCAAAGTTTAAATGAAGTGGATGGAAGCAAGTATAGGCAACCATACGGCCTTTAATAATGAGAAAAACCCATAACGTATATTAGTCTATAGTCCGACTTAAAAAATATGTAACAATTCAATTGAAAAAACGAACGGCCAAATTTAACACAAAACAATTTACAAACAACAAACATAACAGACATGAACCAAATACAGTTACTGAACTACAGCCTCCTAAATTGGGACAGGCATATATAGAATGTTGCGGGTTTTAACATGTTTGAAAGTAACAACCCTCCCTCTAACATGTGACAGTGATGTAACAGTACAACATATGAACAAACTATAGAAATCTGTTTAACTGCTTTAAATGTGTTCGATTATATAATATTATGGAATGGTGAACAACCTAAACTGTTTAGATAAAAAGTATGAAACTAAAAGTGACGTCAATTATGTACAAACGTATTGCCAAACCTTCGAGTCATGCAAACGAGGCTGGTTTAATAACAACAATACCATAACAACTGTTTTAATATCAAGATATGATGCATACATAACATAATGACACACGTTGCCAAAGAATCATATAACACAAGATGACAATTTCTTCTGCATTCTATTTACAAGCGAATCAATACATGTTTAGAAGGCTAAATCAATTATGGAAATGTAGAATGTTTAATAATAATACATAATTAATACAAACGGAAAGTATGCAAAATCACTCAGCGTGCAGTTATTACTAGGTTGGTTGATGAGCTTAATCGTATTCAGAGTCATTTTATCTCAAGAAATACTCACAAAATGTGTTACAACATGAATCATTTTGAATAATACATAATACAAATATTGGTTTATGTACATATACTCTGTTTTTATTCGAATTTACGAGCTATCGAAAGTCTTTTTCCTCAATGTTGGTAGGGTATTATTCTTCAAATAAACTATTATTAAAAGATAACAAAACCAACGCTGTTATTGGATCTTCGAATATAGTTTTTATTGGTATAAATATTGAATTTCTTATCAGTAAATTAAAACCATATTGAATATTATTGTTATGCGCATATGCACATTCACGGTACAACAATCTGTCGATACCTATATTTTGGCATTGGATAAGGTCATGTTTTTGTATGACTGTTATTGACGTTTATACACTAAATCCATTGGATGTTGGATGTGTACTGACTATTTTAGTCTTACATGATTTTTTTTTAATATTTGTTATTGGCATTTAATTAGATGTCAGTAACTGCGAGTACTCTTTTTTGTTAATTGTGAGGGATTTATAAATACCCTGCAACGTCCGGTCTGTGTTTTTGTTAGATATTTTCTACTTTGTATCAATCTAATGGGTTAAGCCCTTTTTAACAGATTTTTATGGTTTGTTCTCATGGCCTACTGGTACACTATTGTCCCAGGTTAGGGGAGGGATTCTAACATGTTTAACACCGCCACATTCTATATATGCCTGTCCCAAGTCAGGAGCCCGTAATTGAGTTGTTGTCGTTTATTCTGTTTCTCATATATGTTTTCCATTTTTTATTTTGTTTTTTGTTTTATATTGTTACATCACTGACCCAGGTTAGAAGGAGGGTTTGCGCCTTCAAACATGTTTGACCCCGTCACATTCTTTATGTTCCTGTCCCACGTCAGGAGGAGCATGTAGTTAAGTTGTTGATTTTGGTTCATGTCTGTCATATATTTGTTGTTCGTAAATTGTTTTGCTATAAATTTGGATGTTAGTTTTCTCATTTGAATCGTTTCATATCTTTAAGTTGGAGCCTTTTATAGACAAAAACACGTTATGGGTTTTTCTCATTTCTCAGTATTGAAGGCCGTATGGTTGCCTATAATTGCTTTTATCCACTTTATTTGACTTTGTTGGATAGTTGTCTCTTTGGCAATCATACCACATGTCCTTATTTTTATAAAGATGATTACGCATTGTAACCTGAAAATAGTTCGAAAATTAATTTTTTTGTGTTTCTTAATATTTTTTCACTTGTATCATAAACAAATTGACATGGGTCATGTTCTACAAGATTAATACATTTTTGTTTACCTTCTATACTCGAATAATTTGTTGATGATGGACTGCTATGTTCTGTTTCTTAAAAAGAAAGACAAATTATCAAGATGTCTGATTACGATCCTTATATACATACTTGGTATATACTGGATACCAAATAAGACGACTATGTATTTAGAGAAAACAATTAGGTTACAGACAATGTATATTTTGGGTTTTTTTTTTGTCGTATATAAAGGCAACGGTAGTATACCGGTGTTCAAAAGTCGTAAATCGATTGAGGGAAAACAAATCCGGGTTATAAACTAAAACCGAGGGAAACACATCAACTATAAGAGGAAAACAAAGGAATATAACACCCCAAGTTATATTATACGACGAGAAAAAATCTTACAATATGCATTATCTGACTTATATACCGTCAAAAAATATTAGTTTCTTGAAATAGAAAAAAGATTTGTATCCCAATTAAAGAGGTATATTCTTATCTATTGTCATTAGGTATAACTGCACTCTAAGGCTCACTTATAGTGTGAAATACTACTTAACTTAAACAAAGTAATCACTGTCCAGTTACATTAACAATTTTACTGTAAATGCATGAAGCAAGAAATAAATGAAATGTTACGTTGTTGAATAAAAGTCACTTGGTAGGTAACTTTTTATATCATAATTTTATAAAAGGGGTGCTATATTTTTTCTGTTGTTTACAGATATTTTTACCACCGAAAAGGATACCATTTTTTATCAATTTAATACGGATTATTCAGAATAATTGTTTTCTTTCTTGTGTCTTGCAATAGTATTTTTCTTCAATAATCGAGAATCGAATCAAGGTTTAAAAGAAAAAGGTATATATCATTGTAAAACATTTCCAAAAAGGCAAGAATAGCACAAAATGATAATGTACACGTAACAAAAAAACGCACACTTATAGGTCAGTGTCCCATTTCTAAAACGGTGTGGACCAACAAGATGTTATACTTTTTTTTAATAATTTGACACATAAATGTGAAACAATTTGTACAAAAATAAAAGATCTGGTAAGATTGCCAATGAGACACCAAAGATTGAATGAATGAAAATTATTAGTAGACAGCTCTCTTTTAAAAGCAAAACAAATTCGTAACTGTTAAATATAAGGGCACACACTCCAAGCACGGGGACAGTTTGTTCTTAAAGTGTAATTAAAATTTTGCATTATTATATTTATCTCATATAATGTCCCTTTATTGAAGCGACAAATTAACAAACCTTCAGATTAATTGTTTCGATTGATTGATTGATAGTTGGTTGTTTAACTTCCAGTGGCAAAGACTTCATGCAATAGGATGAACAAATTAGCAATAAATACAATACTAGGTAAGTCTTGTAATTGAGGCCGAGAGGATGAAGGTCGGGAAAATTAGGGTATATTGGAAAGGAACATACATTTTGCTTCGTAACAGGACACCTACTGACCTCTAAAAGATTTGCTGCGAGGGTTCTTAACCAGAGAGCGTGACACTTTATCTACATCTTCATCGGATTTAACGTCTCCATTCTTACCGGACGTGACTGCGTACTTGTACATCCCACACAGCCAAAACGGACGCTCGACTTCGGCAAAGGTCTTACTGCTGGTCGGAAGAAGACCAAGAGTGACCCTATTTCTATTCCCCAGTTACCCTTGGGGACCAATTGTTTCGAAAATTAAACTACGCGTTTAGGATGTTTTTTTGTTGGTATTTCAGTCTAATAAACGGCAAAAAGGGTCGTGCACTCGGACATTTGGATTTTGTTGAAATGAGCTTAGTTCTTTTAACTAAAACTGAACTGAAATCTCTGTATTACTGACAAATTAGTGCACCAGGGTTTTTGATATCACAAATTTGTCAAAACATTTACTAAATTTTATCATCGGTACAAGGACATCATTCGTAAATATAAATCAACGTGCAGACATCTTATACGTTCAGGTATTTTACATCCAATCTTTTATGGTAATATTCTATACAAAGCACAAAAATGTCGTCATTCACCTCAAAGGCTAACCAAACCTTTAAACAGACTTATTCAGAAGGAATATAGTTACGATACTGTTGTCAGGTCATTAAAGATGGCACTTTTTTGGAACTAATATTGATTCACTCACAGGGTGTTTGCATCGGAAATAAACACATTTATTCTAAAAAACAGTTGTTGGCTTGATACGGCTTACGATCTTCTTATATATTTTATGATGGTATGATACTAAACTCCTAACTGGATGGATTGTGCTTGAATTTTATGTGATGGAGACATAATCTTTTGATCAGTTAAATTGAGGTCTGGAGCTGATATTACAATTACTGCTAGTAGTCCTTTGTTAATTTATGTATCATTGTCATTTTCTTTAGTTTTTTCTGTTACCTTTTTTAACATCGGACTCGGACGTCTTTTAAACTGAGTTTTACTGTGCGTTTTGCTGTGTGTTTGTTTTAGTCTACATTGGCTAGAGGTATAGGGGGAGGGTTGAGATCTCACAAAACATGATAAACCTCGCCGCATTTATACGCCTGTTCCAAGTCAGGGAACACATTTTGTTTGAGTTATGTTTCATTTAAACAGACAACAGAATCGTTCATTAGAGGATCACGATTTGTTCCCATCGGAATATGAAATGTCTGCTGAAATATCTATCCTCTGAAACTCAAAACAAAAATAAATACTGCCGATTAAAAAGTCAAGCATTTCGATGATATCATCTTTGGTTTATTCGGAACAAAACTTGAAACAAAATATATCTTATTGATTGACCCATTCTTGTCTGAGTTAAAACATACTGAATATGTATAGTACATACTTGTAATTAGAATGTCTACTGAGTTTGAAGCTTCAAAAAATGTTTCATGGAATGAATTAGATGCATTACACGTGTACAATCCACTGTCACTTTCTCTGCCGTTCTTAATTTTCAAAACACTTCCTGCATCTAAATACGTCCCTTTGAAATACCATAAATATGTTGGCGGAGGGTTTCCGTTGCTGATACATGTCAGGTCGATGATTTCAATTCCTTCTAAGTACGTGGAGCGGTTAAGATATTTCATGATGCTCGGATTCCGTACTTTGACTGAAATAATGAAGACAACTAGTACAAGTTATATTACTACAATAATAACTATAGCAACAAGGAGATGTATTTTGAAATCAAATTAAACAACTTCCCATCAGAAATTAAATAACGTGAAAACGCGTAAGTATGAAACTACAGGTAACGTTTATTTGTAAATCGTTCCTCGGAAAAGAAGATATAGGATTCAAGAAACGAGGTAAAAGTTCTTTTTGTACCTTTTAATGTTTGCTACTGGTCGTCCCTAATGAATCAGCAAATGTGAATTTTCGTTGACACATCGGAAAATAACAGTATCTTAGTTTTCATAATTACCGTTGACGGCTCTCTACATATCAAAGTATGACAAGTAGGAACTTTATCAATCTGATAATCAAATTAATATGCATAATAGATGTATAAGAAGAATGAAAAATTCAATAATGATAAATATCAATTATGATACAGTAATCAGTCCTTAATAAGACAAAATAGGCAGCACAAAGCATACAAAACAACCAACATGAAAGAACCACAATGTAAAGACGTCTAAACAATAGTTTAAATAATAGACACAATGGAAGGCATTGGATCGATAAAAGATACTACCCAACCTCCGTTTTAGGGATATCTTTTTAACTAATAAGATGTCCATTCACGGTTAACTTCATATTGATTTTTACTGAGGTGTATATGAAAAGATGACAATGTCGGTCAAATGCTTTATTAAATCTGAAAAAGAAGACATTGTCAGTATTACAGTTGAAAGATCAGCTGTGTTCAAACGTATATGATGCTTGACTGCAAGATCAAATCATATTAACTAAACATTGAAGTAGTAAGTGTTTTCTAGAGACAGAAGACACAGGCGAACATACAGATATTGAAGTGTCATGAAAAAAAGTCCAATACAACAGACAAAGGAAAACAATGTTGAGTAGACAATAGCATATACGATACAAATTGTATCTGTGTAAGAATTTAGTCGAAGTGTTGATAAGTCTGCTTCATCAGAATGAATTAACCTATCGACACGTAGTGTGGCACAGTTGTTCACATTAGGAATGTCCATTTTTTTCAAAGAAAACGTCAAGTAACCATTACAAATATGTTGTTAATACAACAGTCCATTTATTTTTTTCCAAGATTTGTTTCCTTTGGCAAGGAATTTGACCACGATGTACTATATAAGAAAGTGATTCGGCAGACACGAAAAATCAATATAAAATAAGTGGTTTATTGTCGAACAAATTTTATTCATAAACTCATGATTGATAAAGTAGAGGTTCATCTTTTAAGTCCGGATCATACTTTGATCGAGTACGGTTCAGACTTTGGTCGATTATGTTTCAGACTTTGGTCGAGTAGAGTTAGCATAAAGAGTACATGTCGGGGACTAGTTCAGGACAAGTCGAATACAGGTTAAGACTGTTAACAATGGGTTAAGACTGTTTCAGCTTGGTGGAGTGTTCCAGAATTTTCAGTATGGGCAAGATAACGCTCGAGTACATGTTAAAACTGTTCAGTATAATTCGGACTACAGTCTAGATATATCGAGTAAAATTCAGACCAATTCAAAATGGTCGAGTAAAATTCAGTACAGTCGAGTACAAACCGTGTTCATTTCAGACCTTTACTGTTTTGTAGTGTTACTGTTGCGAATTGTCTTGAAAGAATATTCTTGGATATTCTTTCTAGAGCAGGAAATATGTCGTTATGAGTTATGATACTTGATAACTTTGGAATCAAGTAGTAGGTAGAAGAAAAATGCAGTCCTTCATCTATGTTGTTATCCCATCTTGGACATCAAACCGATCTACCATTGTTCACTATTTTCTCTTTCGAAAACGTCATAAAGTATTTTGATTTAAACAGTTGGTATGATTTTTATGGTTTTCAAATGATTTCGCCATGGGTATCACCGAAGAGACAATGATTGTCAAAAAGAGCATTTAGTTCAGTAAAATTGGCACTGTTAATGTTATTTAGTATTTATGGAATTTCCAAGTGAATTGTCACCTTAATTCTTTATCGGGTAATTTATACAATGTGATTTAATAAAAAAAAACGACATTACTTTCAACTTCGTATGCGTGAACAATCAAAGTATTTTCATGACTTGGTCTTTTTTAAAGGGTTCAAAGATTGTTTTTACACGATTTTGTTAATTGTATTAATGACCACACGGCTTAGTCCATTCGTTCATAGATTAACGTTTGGTCCATTGTCAAAAGAAGATACATATCAAGGAAAAACAAACAATAACCAAAAAACCCAAACATTATATAATTAAAATTATAAAAACATACAACAAAAAACAGATATAATCGAATATCCAAAACAAGCGTGAACGCTATATAGGCTATTTCCTGTTTGAATGGTTTTACACTAGTAAATTTTGGGGCCCTTTATAGCTTGCAGTGCGGTGTGAGCCAAGGCTCCATGTTGAAGACCGTACTTTGACTTATAATGGTTTACTTTTATAAATTGTGACTTGATGGAGAGTTGTCTCATTTGCACTCATACCACATCTTCTTATATCTATGTATGCATAATTTGCCATGTATATTCACGTCACAACCGAGAATAGAAGACAATCGAAAAATAAGCAGATCTATTCTGATATTAAAAGATATAAGATCGTTAAAGCACAGATTTCAGAAGTTGCGTTACATTGAACTTAATAATCGTGATGCTAATTATAATATTGATGATGCGTCGATTTGAGTCTTTCTTCCTTAGAACTCTTTCGGCTCAGTTTGTTTTTTTCTGTGTTGATCACATACCTGTCATTCGATATGATGGAGGTTTTGACTGCTGAGAAATGAAAATTGACAATAAGAAAGTTGCAATCATTGCGTTTGTCGTAGCTTAAAGTTTTAAATTGGCAATATTAAGGATATATAGCAAAACTTTTTGGCTTTGGTAGTATCCTTTTATTTCAAAATCATTGTAATGTATAACGTAGCGAAGTATCAGTTATTGAGTGACACGACATCACCAATATATCTAAAAGAGAAATTAAAGAAATTTGCAAGATGTGTTTTTTTTTTGCAGTTCTGTTTGAATCCAAAATGGTATTAATACGAAACAAGTCAGCTTACCGTTTAAACCACTACTTCATTTTTCTCGATAAAATAAACGTTTCTAAACAAATAAATTGAAACAACCCGACTATCAATTTTAATAATTCATACTTACAAAAGATATCAATGGGTGGTGTATATTTATACATTTCGTCATCGTTCATTAACGTTTCTTCGGCACAACCTATTGTAGCTTGGTTATCCATATCATATAGTGTTATTGTCAAGGAACTCCTTCCTACGTACGAACATGATTCTTCTAATTGTGTATAACTTGTTTTTTCATTTGTATAGGTGTCCGTAACACTATCTCCCCGAAGTTTTTTCCGCCAAATAAATTTGCTAGGGTTTTTTCCTAAGTTACCTTTGCAAACAAATGTTACATTTTCGCCCTCTGTTGGTGATGTAAACGTATCTGTTATAGACAAGCTGTCTGGATCATATGCAGGAACTGAATGAAAAGTTTGAAAGGAAATAAAAATTCATACTTTTGTTTATTTAGGTAACAAAACATCTATCAACCCATGTTACTTTAAAAAGACTTCACGTCATCAGGAATAAGTTCAATTTTGTAGATATAAACTTGTTGCGTGAATCCTTAAATATCTGTTTAGTTTGGCGACAAACTTTTCCACCATGACACTGTATCTCTTCTTTAGTCAAATTTTATCAGTCTTAGATATCTTTTTTTTTTATTTATCAAACAAAAAAATGAATGTTGATATCAATATAAACAATATTTCTAGATTTACTACGGTGTTAAGTTGATATTCTCCACGAATAGTCTATTCTCGAATTATTCTATTCAAAGATTATCAACCTTTTTACGTGTATCATTAACAATTCTCCTATGCATATGTATGCTCCTATTACGATAACATTCATAGAACTATCTAGTTTAAAAAATATGACCCAGGAGTCGGATAATGAAAATGATTTTGGTCTTATGCAGGCAAAATAGAATGCAATTTGTTTCAGTGAATCTATCATTAGATTATCTGTTCGTATGACCGAATGATAAAAAAAAAGAAATGTTTTCATTTCCATGTTAAAAGGCTGTTATCTTATCGGTTTATGTGGTATATTTAATCTTTTGCATACCTGTGTTAACACTTTATGAGTATGTATGTATGTTTGTTTCTATGTGTATGTGTGTCGTTCATAATTTTATATTTCTATCTTTCAGTTGTCGTATTCACTATAATTATATCTTTAATTTATTTTTCTTTATAAAAATTATAGACGAATAGATTTACTATTTTTACGAAATTGTCAGAAAAAAACTATTTATAAGATATGAACTATTTACAGGAAGAAAACATTTTCCAGGAAAAAAATACTATCAACCGGTTAATAGTTTCAAAATCATTCACACGTATTTACCGATTATTAGCATTTTTACGGGAAGTGCTGTTAAAAGCAATTAGCCTTGTTGATGACGTAAGCAATTGGTTTCCGTTGAGTTTTATTTATGGCGTAAATAAAGAATATAGGTTTGCGAAATTTTTACGTCCTCCGCTTCAAATTCAAAAATGAATGTTTACCGAAAATAATTGACTTGAAACAGTTGAAATATTTGCAGTATAAAGAGAACAAACCTGCATTGTCCCAAAATATATACCAGCTCTTTCTATATATTTAAACACTTATTCACTGGCTATTTGGATACTAGCAAGGTCATTGTCCTCATAGCCAGTAAATAAGTGTATACTATTATTTGAAATTATTATATGTATTCATCCGGCTTATATGGTTGTAGCAAGGCGGTATTCGTCAAAGTTACATGCATATGGTAAAATGAATTACAATCAACGATACCAGGCTTATAATTTAGCACGAAAGACCCACGTTCCGATGATAAATAAATAGTTGAAAGCTCAAAGCATGTGCAATATAAAAAAGAATTGAAACTGGAATTTTCAAAGGGTTATGCCGAATACGTCTCAGGTAATCTATTTCTAGTGAAATGTCTTCGTATAAATGTTGACCTGAGGTACAAGATTTATTTTCTAACAGTACCAAACCACTCTCAATCAAAAAAGAAGAATACTAAAAGAAAGAAATGCGGTACAATGTTATAATTAAATAATTGTCTATAAGGAACCATATGTGACAAAAATGAGGTTTTGATTATCGTATGGCCTACACAAATTAACATACCCTATGGTTAGCTATCAAAAAGGATTGCTAAATGTGGAAAAATTAAACGAGAGAACATTAATGACAAAAGCTATATTGTATGAATTTCAAGATTATATATTCGTCACAAAAATACGTCACTGTTTGTGATGTCCTGTGCTGTGTGTCGTTAATGGAAGATGTTCGTTGTTATTCTGCGGTTAACATGTTGTATCGACTATTATATTATTTATTTGTACGTTTCTCTGTGATGAGTGTTCTTGTGTGTTTGTGCTGTATTTCTGTCATATTTTTAACATTGCCATATAAGCGGGAGGATTGGCTAGAGCCATAAAACCAGGTTAAACCCACCATTTTTTCTTAAAATGTCATGTACCAAGTCAGGTATATGGCAGTTGTTATCAAATAGTTCGTTTCTATGTATGTTGGCATTTGTTTTTGTTGCACTTCAGTGTTTCTGTTGTTCCTTTGTTTTCCTCTTATAGTTTATGTGTTTCCCTCGGTTTTAGTTTGTAACCCGGATTTGTTTTCTCTAAATCGATTAATGACTTTTGAACATCGGTATTCTACTGTTGCTTTTTTTATACTACATCAGTAATTGACAAACAATTGAGGTAGATATGAAACAACAACTGACGTGCTTATTTGTTTTGACCATCGTTGAATGTATCAAAGTAATAGATGTTTTGAACTCTCAACCTTCCCTTAAAATTTCGATACAATCCACAAAAAATGCTAATTTAGAATTAGATTGGTCAAATATATGTAATGAAATCCATGCGACTTTAAGTTTTTTATACTGATACATGACACTTATTAAAAAGACTAAATACTGCTCCTTATAATAGACAAATGTTAACTATAAATTTGTACATAATTCTAACATGGAACAATCCAAACTGACATTAAGAATTATACGAGTGCATGATTTTTACTGATATTTATGACGATGGTTTGATTCCTATTAACGAAACCTCAAAAAGTTCTGTCATGCAACTCAAAATCGTGTATGTGTACACTAGGGTCTAACCTGGAACATAAAGTCCGTTGCATATAGTTAATACGTGACAATGCACATCTGACTGTTTTAATCCTTTCCTTTAACTTGATATCTTAACAACTTTCTGAAAATGAACAGTTTGAAAATATTATTCTGTATATTTCAATCAGATACCGACAAAAGACGAAGATGAAAACAAATAAATGATGTGAATAAGTTATTACCTGTTATTGTAATATATGCTTCTAGGGACTCAGCTGTTAGTTGTTTCAAGTCTTTGTCAAGATAGGTTATGATGCATTTATACAGGGTTTCATCAATACATTTGACTTCATGAAACACAATAAGAGCCTGTGTTGATGTTTGCGTTATATTGCTTAATGCTACTCTGTCATACAAGTATGCTCCATTTGTCAGAAGTTCTGCCGCCTGGTGAGGCCTATATCCAGCTATGTGTTCAAATGTGTTTGAAGATTTGTTATATGCTTTTATGCCAACAGTCAATATTTCATCTTTTTCCAATATATACGAACATGTCAATATTGTGTTGTTGCTTGATATTGTGGTTGTGGTATTGCTCATACTCAATTGTAACGTAACTATTTCTAAAAAAAAGGAATATGAATAACATTTGATTTTAAATGAATTCGATTGAATAAATGTGTGTTATGTGAGCACGTTAAAAGCAGTGGGACCTATAAGAATACATCAAATTTTTTGGTGAAAAACTATTTTATTTATTGCCTCATTGTAATGATGAACACCAACTTGTTTCATGCATTGCTTAAAGCAAACATCCGTTAAACAAACTCTGATGGATATAATTTCTAAATCAGAATTACATGTGACAATATTCTTTATTTTAATGTTCAAAATTGAAATAATGTCCTATCATTTTCCTACAAAATGGAAGTCTTGAAGTCAGAAGCATAGATCTTCTTATTTTTGATTTGTATACCCTTTGATTTTATAATAATTTATTTGTAGTCGGGAACAGAATAGCATTACCGATATCTCCTAGCTGCACCAGACAATGATTATCACAACTTATCTCCATAGTAATGCGCGAGACTAGCAGAAAAGAAAATTCAAGTCATATACATTTATAGAATATCATAAAAGATACTAGGTTGATAATTTGATTAATATCACTCTAAGCAGTATCACGGAAAAGTTGATGTGCTTATTAAACCAAAAAGGACCCACACTATAGCCAAACCAGGGCGAAGCATCAGTGCTATGCACATTTATTAAAGGTGATTTTCAAAATGCCATACATAGTAATATTTATTTACAAAAGTCATAACAACTATTGGCATACAAAAATATTAACTACACATAGCATACATAGAATAGCAGAAGGTAGTGTGAAACATATTACAACATGTCAGTTCTTAATTTTTTTGCACGAAATATTATTTTTCCCAAATTACATAGCTCTTTAAGATTATTAAAACTCATTAATGGTATACATGGTATATGTATATATAGAAAGTTTCTCCAATAATACAGTTTAATAAAATAAGATCTAACACCTTCATAAGGGACCATACAAACATACATCTTGCTCTGGATATTCAAGTAATATATATAAACCACGCAGTCAGTGACCAAATATGGTATTACATGGTCAGTCAGTATATTTTTTGTGAGAACACAAATCGAATCCCCATATAAAATAAATTGATCTTGTTTGTACCTTTTTATATCACGGAAGGACTGGGTAATATTCATATCCCACCGACTATATGATACTTGCAAACAAAACATGAGAATTTCATCATACCTTTAAATTTCAGCCCATGACGTCATATAAATTTATGTTTTTCGACCAATATCGATAACGAATAGTTTTAACACCATTCATTATATATGCACTCTCAACACGTGACAAGTACAACCAGGCAAAATTTTTAGAAGGCAAATTATTACCCAAGGCTTTTTTTTGGGGGTTCCTGTTGCATTTCAAATTAGGTAATAAAAAAAGTCTTTTGTAGAATGTGATTTATCTTTCCAGATCTTTATGTACTTTTTATGCCATGAGTTTTCTGTTTCACTTCAACGTATGAATTTTGAATGTGGTGATATCACCTGACTATTTGCTAAAGGAATTGCAAATTTTCTTTCATATGATGTCTTAGAGAAAATTGGCATTGATCTTTTTGGGATTTGATAATGTCGTCTTAATTACTATCTGAAATGGTTATTTTAAATGTTACAAATGTTTGATATCAGATTCGCAAATTTTACATGTATTTTTTATCCAATTAAAAGTTATATTAGTAAATCGATGTTCAAATCTCATGCACATATTGAGAGGCTTTAAATGAAGGTTAAAAACAAAATCATAGGTAATCGTATTCATTCCAAAGAGAGATGTAGAAACCATGTGATCCTCATGATGGGCGTTTTCTGCTAAGCGTGTATCATCAACAATGACATGCATGAGAGTCATTAAAAATGGCTCTATCAGAAAAAGGATACAATCGAAACATTAACAGATATGAGATTATTCTTGCATATAAAGATCTTCTGACTACTTTGCTGGTAAGATCAACAGGTACGAAGCGTCCACAAGCAGTTGCATTGACACATTGGGCGTCAAACATATCAAATATTCATGACTTATAAATAATGAAAACAACACGTTATAAAGTTAATGCGTCCAAAGCGCTTTTCTGTATTTATCTTCACCAGGAACGCCCAAAGCCGAATATTTGAAAGCCAAGGATGTATACAACCGAAACCGAGAAGAGCTATAAGATCAAAAATGACCTAAAATAATAGCCAAATTCTTCTAAATTTGCCTGAGGGAGTTGAAACCTTTTTTTCTTTATAATTTCAAAATTCATAAACGGGCAAATTTAGAAAGGTTTGTCATTAATCATGTTAGTATCGAAGTACTGACTACAGAGCTGATGATACTCTCTCGGGGACTTTTAGTCCACCAGCAGAGGTATCGACCCAGTGCTGTAAAAAAATGAAAACAACACGTTATAAATTTAATGCGTCCGAAGCTCTTTTGTGGATTTACCTTCATTAGGAACGTTCAAAGCCGAATATTTGAAAACCAAGGAATAAAAAACGCCATTAGATTAATTTATATTGCAGAAACATGGGAAGATGACAATTGGAAATATGAAATAATCCCAGTGTCATAAGTTCTATTGTTCATACACGTCCATTTGTGTCAATATCCAGGAAAATGTTTATATATTAAGGAGACCTTTAAGTTTTGGTTCTTTCTTTTATCTCAATTTCATTAGAATATATCATGTATATGAAGAACTCGCTAAATAAGGGTTATTGAGTAACAGGACTTCATCAATTTATCTGGAAAAAACTCATCGAGGTACCAGAATTATAATTTTGTACGCCAGATGCGGGTTTTGTTTATAAAGTCTCGTAAGTGACGTCCAGCAATGTTCTAAATCAAATAAAGTACAAAGCTGAAGAGAATAAAGGACCAAAAATTCCAATAAATAGGAAGAAAATCACAACAGTTATACGATAACATCAGTGTTACGTATTTATATTAAGCATAATTTTAATATCTTTACTTGTGGAACTTGCATGCTACAATGTATAGAAGAGATACGACCTTATTTATCATAAGATCATCAAAATTAGCAGCAATAAATTATTTTGCCAATACGATGTCGTCCAATTACAAGACCGTTTTCAAAAACAGACTATAGCAATTGACAATTCTACGTGCACGTTTCAAAAATGTTTATCAACAAAGTTGGGGGTTAACAAGCCAAAAAGACTCTTTCATGCACAAGGATAGCTTTCACTAGTCAGCACGAAATCTGATTGGTTAAAGCATTGTCAGAAAATTAGATTGATGTGTGACATACCTGTTAATCATTGAATAGGATCCAAAGATATCAAATATTGTAAACAAAATAAGAGTTTTATTAATAGAATATAATTCTTAATTAAACTGTTCAAATCCATTCAATGTCACATAATAACAGCTCAATAAGGCTTGTGTTTCCTCTCTGCTTTACGTGTATTATTTCTTTTGTCATGCTTCTGATTGTCACTTCTCTTAATTTCTGCTTCTGATGTCAGTTTGAAACTCAAGCAGTGCCTTTTGTTGCGCGTCTTTTATTTCAAGAAACCGTTTGTTCAATTCAGTGCGTGCATGTCCTGCACTTTCACTTGCCAAACCTATTGTATCCTTGGCATCTGTCATAATGCTCTTCATTTTATTCTTGATTGCATCCAGTTTGATGTCAAGGAATTCAATAGAATTCGTTAACATTTGTTAAAAAAACATAGTCAGAAAAAGACAGACGATATTTAACAAATGTTTAACATACTGAAATTTATTTAATTATCACTTAACGTGTTCATTACAAGAAACGAATTTTTTGAAGGGTATAAAACTGCATTTAAAACAATGTAAGTAACATAAGCTAAAATAAACCTCATAAAATAAACTAGATTGAATTAATAATTATATGTTATATCAGCATAGCTATTGGGCAGGACATACCCTAGGCGGCGAGACGGACTACCAAAAGTTGTATATAAATTTGAAATGAATGGAATATCATTTATCAAGGTTTACAAATAGACATACAACTATCTGCCCAGTTTAATACTAGAGCACAAGCAATTATCTGATATGCATCTCATTAAGCATGACCGGCTTTATAACAATAATTTAAACATTGAATAGCTGACGCGACTGACGAACTATGAAGATAATCAGTTTTAAAATATCGATTAATAATTTTAGGTTTAGATATACAAGAATACTACATATTTAAACTTCATAAACTGTGCATTATGTTTAATGTCCTAATGCAGCCATCATTTTTGTGTTGGTTGTGTTTATTTTAATTCCTTTTATGAGACCCTGCAGAATATTATTTAAAATTTCAACTTATATAAAACGACGCTTTAACAGAGTACACCTTTAATTTCAAATTTTTTTTCACATCGACAAAGAATATAAATTATACATGTGTTATATGTGCTACAGACTGTTGAACCCGAGGAATATATGCCTCTACAGAATGGACTCAACACAGACATAATGACTGTTGCAAATGATACAACTTATCTATATTTTTACTAAATTCAAATTCCTTTTTGTCTGCAGTTTTTATGCACATAACATGTTTACCACCTTTACTAATTGTTAATAATTTTTTTTCCTATCGATTATTGTCAATCATGTTAATTCAAACCAAAGATCTTACCTTTAAAACAAATGATTAATATGATGATTAAAGACGTGTATAACATTTTAGCGGCCGTTGAATAATTGTTTAAAAGGAAGCAATTGTATACAATACAAATATATATCTGCATGAGTTATGGTAGATTGAGTTCCGAAGGGCAGTCGGACATGTTATTCTTGTTTGTTTTAACAGCATTCTTAAAACTACACGGTATATATATGTATTTACTCTTTTTTATTTATATTTTCGTAATACATTTGCATTCCGTATGGTTTTTTTTTTAATATTACATGTAAATTATTACATGTGTTTATTCGATTTTTATCACCAATCCTTGGCATTACGATTGAATAGTCAATAAAATATCCGAACACTTGGTATGCATGCATTACAAGCCATGCTGATTCACACTTAGTCAAAATTTCACAATCGGGAACTTGAAGTAATCGATAAAAGTATAGATCAGACGACTATACTGCTATACAAAGATCTTAAAACGTTCGAATATGTCGCTAGTGAGTTGGTTCACCGACACATTTTATTGGTCAACCAATTTTTGGTTGTGACCATAATAACTTTTTTTATAACCGACTTATATAGTGTCGATTTCAGTCGTTCTTCCTCATAAATCCTTTTGAGCAGTTTGTGAGAATGGAGCAGACTCCTTCTAATGAAGTTCATACAGTGTAAAAAAGCACGATGGGTACATTTTAACTGAGATATTTAAAGGCCTTACGATGTAGCAATAGTATGTTAACGCTGAGAAATGGAGACAAGTGAATAGTTGAAATAATCATGTCAGTCATAGATTAGAAGTTGAAGTTGTCCTTCAGTGTAATTCTCAGGGGAAAGATGAAAATATTGAACACTTTTACTTTCGGTAGTATCCGTAATGTTAAGGTCATTGTGATATATGTGATGTAGGCATACATTCTTCTATATCTAATAGTTTGGCAGTGAGCAAGGTCATGCGTTTCTGAGACTGTTTATGACGTCTTTACACTAAACCCGTTTGATTTGTACTGAATGATTCTTTAGTCTGGGAGAACGTGATTGGTTGTAATTGGCTTTGAATTAACTTTCAGTAACTTTTATTGTATCTAAAATATCGGGATATAGGGATAAAAATTAATCTATAAAGCAATAAGTGAAAGTTTGTAATTGTTTTCAAACCGTAAATATCCTTACCACCTAGGATATTTAGATAGAAACTTCAATGGAAGTTTATTCTCAAACAAATATTTTTTGTACAATAAATTGTTTTGGAGATGAATGCCATTATCTTTCTTTTCGGTCAAAACGAAATAACAAAGTTACACATGAAATGTATGTAGAAATATTATATTAAAAATCTATGCAAAGAGGAAATGAAAAGTATGTTGTCTTAAAGTTATATTTTGTGATCCAATAAAAATTATTTAATATCAATTAAAATATTTAGAGTTTGTTTTAGATACCCTTGCAGGGTAAATATTTTCTTTTTTTATAATATATTTGCATATACAGACTTTTATAATTTAAGATAGATAGCAAGAAATGTATATATCATAAATTATTTTTAGAAAAATGGGAATATTGACGACTTCAAGTCTAAACCTCCTGATTGCACCTGTGCTAGTTCCCAATTCACATATAATCCGGCTGGCCATGTTGTTACCGGAGACCTCATCATTGTCAATAACACTTCCCTGCGAAATTTATTATCCAAAGGTCCGAAATATCGTGAGCCTGAATCCATCAATTGAAAATACAACTTCAAAATACTGATGGATTCAGTCGAGGATTATGCCAGGCAATGGGCTAAACGAGAGAAAGAAGGCGTAGATATGTACTCTTTGGAATGGATTAAGGCTGTGAGGTCGTTGATACAAATCCGAATTAAGAAACTAAATGAGCCTATCAATACCCACGCTACGTCAATTTCTAAAGACCCAAATGTTGCAAAACACTTGTCCTACCTCCATGACCAATATGTTGTTGTCCTCGCAGATAAAGCCCCAAACAACTTGGTTTTGTGTGTAAATATCATTACATAAAGATATTATGCTTGATAAATGAATTAGGTATTGACAATTCATTTGGAAACTCAATATATACCCTCACGACACTTACCAAAAAGGAAATCCTGGATAATCATAGGTCTGTTCTATGTTCCTTTGGAATTTCAACCAATGATGAAGAACTGGATCTTCCATCACTGTATTGGATACCTAAACTACATAAGTGTCCTTACAAACAAAGGTATATTGCTGGGTCTTCCTAGTGCTCCACGAAACCTCTTTCTAAGTTATTAACATCTATTTTATCAGCAATCAAAGCCGGGTTCCAAAGTTATTATTAGACTGCTTATTCTAGAGCTGGCGCGAATCAGATGTGGATACTAAAAAATTCCAAAGATATTTTATACATACAATCTAAGACTCTCTCATCTTGCAATAGTATTAAAACATTTGACTTTTCTATACTTTACAAAATTATTCCCCTTTCCAAACTAAAAGACAAATTGAAAGAGTTGGTATCACTTTGTTTCATTAAAAAGAAAGACGAACGTAGATACAAGTATCTTGTCTTGGGGAGGGATAAATCCTACTTTGTAAAGGATCACTCTGATTCAAACAAAAAATTCTCTGAAACTTTCATTATCAATATGCTTGATCTCTTGATTGACAACATATTTGTTACGTTTGGAGGACGTTATTTTCAACAGACTGTCGGAATTCCAATGGGAACCAATTGTGCCCCTCTTCTTGCCGACTTGTTTCTTTATTATTATGAGGCTGACTTCATACAGAAACTTCTTAGAAAGAAAGATAAGAAGATAGCAATATCCTTTAACTTTACGTTCCGCTATATAGATGATGTTCTCTCACTAAATAATACAAAATTTGGTGACTATGTTGAACGAATCTATGCCATCGAACTAGAGATAAAGGATACTACAGATACATTTAAGTCTGCCTCATATCTTGAATTACATCTAGAAATTGACAATGAGGGTCATCTGTACTGTTTGTATCTGTTTGTCTTTTTATTTTTGGCCATGGCGTTGTCAGTTTGTTTTCGATCTATGAGTTTGACTGTCCCACTGATATCTTTCGTCCCTCTTTTTGAATTTAAAAAAAAATCTATGTAAAAGTTTATACGACTACACCCTCACATCCGTAACTAGTTGTTCATATATGGCGTGTATTCATCCTTTATAAAGAAAGTTTACCAGGAAATATCTTAATCTGCTTTTTCTTCTTTACTTTTTATCAGGAACAATTGCATTTGAAATTTTCATCAATGAAAACAGAAGCGGATTACTTGGAAGCAATGATACTTCATTGGAATGTTCATTCAATAAAGCGGAAGGAGAAGACATTCTTTCCTTATTTTTCTTGTACAAAAATAAAACCTCACATTCTTACGAAGATATAGTTGTATTTACATCATCAGCAGTACCAAGATTGACTGCTAAAGGTAATTATTTATCGGAAAGAATTGATTTACCAAAACATACGTTATCGTCATCACCAGCAGCAATTACCTTTTCCGATCTACAATGTCAAGACAATGCACGTTATAAATGTAGAATTACATATCAAATTAGGAGGACTTTCGAAAAATATACTGTAGAATCATACGCAACACAGATAAATGTACAAGGTAAGATGAAGTTATCACTTATTACATTTTATTTGTCAGAAATGATTTTCTGCTCAATCCTTATTAGGACCGCATAAACCGCAACAATTTGAAAACAACTAAGATAAATACTTCAACATGACAGGATCTATACCAGCAAAACAGACAGAATAAATAACCTTCTACTTTGCCTGCGGGAGTTACAACCATGGCCTTCTCAAAGTCCATAAACTTTAAATTTATAGAAATATATCCAAAACAAGCGGATCCCGAGCTTCAAGCTGGAGAGGATATGGTTACGGTGGGGTTGTGCTATCCTGGATTTCTTGCTTTTTATGAAAACAAATATGATTTACCTAAATTTATCTCACATCAACTTCATCATTTTTTTACAAATTAAGTGTGATTTTGATTCATTATCATAAGTCGGATGTCAGTTGTCATGGATCTCGTGAACCCCAAATTGAAATGTTAAAAGTCATCAAACTTCCCATAGAGTATTGGCAAAATAGGGACGAAAGATACCAGAGGGACAGTCAAACTCATAGATCGAAAACAAACTGACAACGCCATGGCCAAAAATAAAAATACAAACAGACAAACAACAGCACAGACGACACAACATAGAAAACCAAAGACTAAGCAACATGAACCCCACCAAAAACTTGGGGTGATTTAAGGTGCTTTGGAAGGGTAAGTAGATCCTGCTCCACACGTGGCACCTGTCATGTTGCTTATGTTATTATAAATCCGGTAAATAGTCTAATTCGGTAGGTCACATTCGTGAAAAGAGAAGGGTATTGTAGTTACGACATAAGGAACATATCCGATATCATCTGTGAAACGGTCATTCCATAACGGTCAACCAACTCGTGATGGCGTCCGTAAAATTTACGAAGGGATGATTTCAACTTCACCATTTGGAACTTTTCGTTTAATAGCTTCCTTGTGAGCAGCAATCCTCTATCAAGGAAATCATGAAAGGAAATAAAAGCCCGGGAATATCGTATCAATCGGGAGATATATACTCCGTATGCAGGCGCTGCTGCAATGTTGCTACATAGAAATGGAAAATTCACAATTGGGAAGCTGAAATCATCTCTTTTGTCGTAAAGTCTTGTTTTCAACCGACCCTCATTGTCAATTTCTAGATGTAAGTCAAGATATGAGGCAGACTTAACTGTATCTGTAGTATCCTTTATCTTTAGTTCGATGGGATAGATTCGTTCAACATAGTCACCAAATTTTGTATTATTTAGTGAAAGAACATTATCTATATAGTAGAACGTAAAGTTAAAGGATATTGCTAGCTTCTTATCTTTCTTTCTAAGAAGTTCCTGTATGAAGTCAGCCTCATAATAATAAAGAAACAAGTCGTCAAGAAGAGGGCACAATTGGTTCTAATTGGAATTCCGACAGTCTGTTGAAAAACTCGTCCTCCAAACGTAACAAATATGTTGTCAATCAAGAAATCAAGCATATTGATAATGTCAGTTTCAGAGAATTTTTTGTTTGTATCAGAGTGATTCTTTACTAAGTAGGATTTATCCCTCCCCAAGACAAGATACTTGTATCTACGTTTGCCATTCTTTTTAATGAAACTAAGTAATACCAACTCTTTCAATTTGTCTTTTAGTTTGGAATGGGGAATACTTGTGTAAAGTGTAGGAAAGTCAAATGTTTTAATACTATTGAGATGAGAGAGTCATAGATTGTATGTACTCTAAAAGATCTTTGGAATTTTTTAGTATCCACATATGATTCACATCATCTCTAGAATAGGCAGTTTCACAATAACTTTGGAACCCGGCTTTGATTGCTGATAAATTAGATGTTAATAATTTAGAAAAAGGTTTCGTGGAACACTTGGAAGACCCAACAATATACCGTTGTTTGTAAGGACACTTATGTAGTTTAGGTATCCAATACAGTGATGGAAGATCCAGTTCTTCATCTTTGGTTGAAATTCCAAAGGAACATAGAACAGACCTATGATTATCCAGGATTTCCTCTTTGGTAAGTGTCGTGAGGGTATATGTTGAGTTTCCAAATGAATTGTCAATACCTAATTCATTTGTCAAGCAGTTTATGTAATGATTTTTACACACAAAAACGATGTTGTTTGGGGCTTTATCTGCGGGGACAACAACCATATTTGTCTTGGAGGTAGTGCAAGTGCTTTGCAACATTTTGGTCTTTAAAAATTGACGTAGCGTGGGTATTGATAGGCCCATTCAGTTTCTTAATTCGGATTTGTATCAACGACCTCACAGCCTAAATCCATTCCAAAGAGTATATATCTACGCCTTCTTTCTCGCGTTTAGCCCATTGCCTGGCATAATCCTCGACTGAATCCATCAATATTTTGAAGTTGTATTTCCAATTGATGGATTTAAGCTCAAGTAAGTCGGACCTTTGGATAATAAATTTCGCAGGGAAGTGTTATTGACAATGTTGGGGTCTCCGGTCATAACGTGGCCAGCCGGATAATATGTGAATTGGGAACTAGCACATGTGCAATAAGGAGGTTAAGACTTGAATTCGTCAATGTTGAGATCCTGCAAAACGTGTTTGTAATTGAAAATTTTAGTTGCAATTGGTTTTGTATAGGTATAAGAAATTATTGGTACAGACTGATCTTTAAAATAAGGAGGTATTTTCGACTGAAGTAATTTATGATGAAGGATATTGCCTACGTTGACGCCATCGAGACCTTTGTTGGCAAAGGAAAGTTTAAGAAAAGATCTTTTCTCTTTTTCATCTTTTCCAATGCGAACTGGTTTGAAAATTCTGTGACTTGCAATATCCGAAATGATAGTTGTAAGTTTGTATTGGTTTGAATAAGGGTTTGTAACAGTGGTTTCCAAACTTAAATTGAACAGAGAATAAAGTTTGAAAGGGGTAATGAATACATTTTCGTGCGAATGTGATGAATACCTAACGACTTTTGTATAAATGGCAGCAAGTCATTAATAGAGACATCATGCAAAGTAGGTGATGTATAATGACGATGACCATGACTGCGTCTACGTCGAGAAGTAGAGTTGAAAATAGTCATCGCATTCACCGAGCTACAGGAAGGAGTAGATAGAATACCTATACCATAAATTTTGTCATTACAACCATATGGTGTCGCAGTTCCCATGTCGAATCCAGTAGTCCTCTTTTTTGTCTACGGAGAGGCGTTGCAAGTTGAGGATTGTTAGTCTTGTGGTATATTTTTTCGATAATACGACCTGTCATAGAAACGATGGAATTATCAGGCTGATTAAAATTCTGGTACAGAATGTCGTTTGCATTGAGGTTGATATCTGATCTATGGCCGCACATACGTTTGTTTAGCCTTCCTTTAGTTTCACCGACGTAAACCAATCCGCAAAGGTTACACTTTAATCCGTAGACGACATTTATAGATTTACAATTCAGATCATCGTAACTTCTAGTAAAATAAGACTTTTTAGTTAAATTGCTAGTGAATTGAGCATCTGTTATTAAAATTTCACAAGTTTTGCAGCCATTAGTTCCACATTTCGAAATGAGACAGTGTTGTTCAGTCATCAAAATCCAAAATGTCTTTAAGGAGAACTGAACATGGCTGTGTATGTGTACTATTGCTATTGTCACTAGTATGATGATCTGAATGAGTCATGTTTGGGATATTTGGCAAAGTTTGGCAATATAGCGAATCAATTATCCCTGAAAATACATTTTTTTCTTAATTTAGGACAGTTTGTACCAACAATAATACTCGAGTCAATAGAGTCTAAATCAGCATTATTAAATGCTTACCAAAATGTAATGCCGACAGGCTATTTCGATTGTTGCTTTGTCTCTGGAACACTGCAAATACATGGACAGCAAATTGTTCAACATTATATTTTGTTATTTAAAAAAAAACAAGTATGTTTTAGCCTTAATAGCAGCTCAATTCAGAATATTTAACGAGATCTGATTTGTTTTAAATAGTTTTGTTTTAGTTGGTAATGCTTCTAAATAGTAGCTCATTAAAAACCGATAAATTTCACTTTATCATATGGTTTCATTTATGAGTAATGAATTTGATATTGTTATTATGAATCATAGTCATTTCGTACCATTACAATTTTGTACCACTCATTTCGCACCATACCAAAAACCATTTCGTACCATAACCATTTCGTACCATTGCCATTTCGTATAACATGAAAGATTATAATGTATACCATTTCGCACCATATGAAAGATTATAATGTATACCATTTCGTACCATATGGAAGATTATAATGTTTACCATTTCGTACCATTGTATGCTATTTATACCAATCTTAATTCATTATAACGTGAACAAACAATTATTGATGTTTATTTTTTATGCAATCATCTTAAATAGTGGGTTTTGTTTGATAGATAAATGATATAGATTCAGATTCAATATTTTATTAAAGTCTTACCACATGTTTAACATAAACATTAACATCCATTCTAAAAAGAATTATGAGAGACTATTTAAATTATTATATACAGTATGCGTTACGTAATTTTAAAATCTATACAAGTATATATAATAATTTATACATTTCATTATATAAATACAAACATTTCGTCACTAGACAATATATAAAAACACTATATATATATATATATATATATAAAACATAAAACAATTATTAAAACGAACTGGGTCAGTATAAGGGAAATTGCTTATTAAAACAAAATTGTCATATAATAAATTCCATACTTATATTCCCATTTAAAACTGAATATTTTTCATGTTCCAAGTATGATACGGTAAAGTTCAATTTTCATATTGTACGAAATGATACAACATTTTTTTCCCATACGGTACGAAATGGTAAAGCATTTTTTTCCATATGGTACGAAATGGTTTAGCATTTTTTCGAAATGGTAATTTTGGGTACGAAATGGCAATGGTACGAAATGGTTATGGTACGAAATGACTGGATTCCGTTATTGCACCTACTCTTTTAAAATTGCTTACATTTGTTTGTAGTTTTGCCTCTCAAACCTCAACTAACCACATTTTTCAACGCATCAACAACACCAACCCAACGAGCTGCTACTAGAAAATCAACGAGGTCTACAAATTCGCCACTTAATATAAAGGAAGGAGACATTGTTACATTTGTTTGTAATGGGATTGTCGGAAACCCACCAGCAAGCTTTATTTTCCAAAAGTTCCGTCAAGGACATATCTTAGCTGATATCTATGCAAACACAACAATGCAACTTAATCCAATTGATGACATGTGCTATTTCAATGGTAAAAGTGTTCTTACGATTCAGGTAATGAGTGAAGACAATCAAGCAATCATACGTTGCATTGCTAATTCCGATTTGACAGAGAAAAGTATTTATACAGACTCCCCCACAATAAAAGTTTTCTGTAAGTACCAAAATATATTTCTGGATACTGTAAATTCAGAAAAAAGTATTGCGAGGTTTTTATTAATGCAAATAATGCGACAGGGTGAGTATTCTGATAACTGAAACATAGGCCTTCATGCAGGTTTTTTTTTTTTTTAAATTGCAACAATCGCAATAATTAAACTCGCATTTTGTCCATTTTTGAATAATCGCAATAATAAATGCACGCAATAATTTCTGAATGTACAGTACTTTAGCATGTTTAGGGTTATTGAATGAATATTGGATAATTTACATGGATATACAGTATCAACAAGCAAGATTTACAAACAGATGAAAGTAAAGGACCTGGTGTTTCTAGATGCAACCTGGCCACAATTTTACTTACAGCGTGAAAGATAGCTGATATTGTTGCTAGTGATTTCAATGTTATGAACGATACCCGCGTCTGGGGAGCATATAGTTCAGTTCTACCAATGTTTTATATATACTAATTAGACTAACCACAGGATGTTTACTTAAACAACAACACGACGGGTGCCACATGTTTATCAGGATCTGATCAATCTAACGGAGCACCTGATATCACTCCCGGGTTTTTTGTATGAGTCGTGTTGCCCGGTTTTTAGTTTTCTTTTTGTGTTTTGTGTTCTGTTTGACTTTTTGCCGTTTTTCGTTAATTGCCTTGGTAATGTCAGTTTGTTTTCGACTTATGGGTTTTAGTATTCCTTTGTTATCGTTCGTCTCTCTTTTACGTACGTGTAAATCTCGGGTGTTTGAACAAAAAACACAAACAAGACTATCTGCCATTTTCGAAAGACTATTATAGATTGAAACTGTTTAAAATGTTAAATGAACGTTCAAACTAAGGAAGAAGATATGCATATATGATGAGGCAACTCTTTAGACCCCTTGAATTTGCAAACAAGGTAGTATTATAAACTGTATAAAACTACCAAATAGTATCCTTTAGACGTTCTTAAGATATGAGTCTGTTGGACAGCAGCATTTGTATTTTTAAATGCTGTCTTACATATTGGCATAAAGGCTTCACATTTCTCATATTAGTGCAAAACACTAAAACTTTCCAAAATAGCCTCGTTTTGATATCTTGTCATTAAAATTTAGATATGAGCAAAAGCTTTAACCGAACAAATATTTTGCTACAAATGATTTTTTACAAAGATGTTTATGTGTGTACAATATCTGTATTGGGTAACAGCGTTACTCACATATATTTTGACCAAATACAATGCGTGAATCAAATAGTTGCAAACGTATATACTATTTGATCTCTGGTGTAAAGTTGCTTCATTGGCAATCATACCATATCTCTCTATTTTTTTAAGAATGGAGAATGGACTAATCATATATCAAATACATGCACACATATTTATTGTTGTAATAATTGGTTTTCTTTTCCCTGTTTAACTCACCAGGACTAAACGGTTATGTGAGCGCTTGCAGTCACTTGACAGCCGTCGTCCATCGTCATAAACTTTTTTCTTAAATCTTCTCCTTTAAGTCGAAATTGTCAAATTTGCCGAAATGTAGGATTCCTTATAGGATTTGTTTTGCCCTTAAATGAAGATTTTTTACTTTTTCTTATAATTTTGCATAATTACCTCGAAAACTTTAATAGATAGGTATAAACTGTCAACAGTAAAATTCATCATCAATACAATATCTACAAAAATATCATTGAATAAGATTAACAAATCAGCAAAGATATCTGAATGCAGTACAGGTAGGAGTAAATATCATAATGGCATATTTTCACTTGATGTGCGATTCAGGCTCTTGGGACCCTTTTGTTTATTTTTTAGCTGAAAAACTAACAACACCATCAATTTGCACAGGCAGTTGTCCTGGATCGAACGAAAATGCAGAAAATTCAAATACAAACAAAGGTAATAATTGCGTGTTTTAAATTGTTTATGTCATGAGTACATATTTTCAAATTTAAATAGTCATGACTAACTTTTTTTGTTAATTTCAAATCAGAAATAAAAATAAGATTTCATATGAATCGTTTGTAAATATATCTAATAAAAAATAAATAAATATAACAAAGAATGCCTGATTGTTTACATAACACTAGTTCACATTTGGTTTTTATTCATGGATTGTAAGATTATCATGTTGTCTTGATACTATTAGTTTCCTATTATATCAATGCCGTAAATTCATAGAATTGTAAAGACACGGTTTGTGTGAAACACATTTAACGGATTACTATTGATAGCCTAACAGTCATTCATCTTTTTTGATTTTCTGGTTTAAAGCACAGAGAAGATACAACGTGGCAATTAAAATCCCCCTAATAAAATAATAAAAACAAATAATACGGTAGCGATATAAAATATGATATTAGTATACTTCTACAGAGAATACTAAGGATAACCAAAGAAAAACCAGGGTGGATTCATTTACGAAGGATAAACATTTCCAGCTACTCTAGTGGCACAAGTCGTATTCAAAGCATTCGTAACGGTCAAACAATAAATGTTGACGTCCATAAATTGTCGTAATAATGATTTAAACTTTACAACTTACATGTATCATTCACATGTATCACTTGGTGATATTGATGCGATTGTTTCATTGTAATCAGTTACTGCTTATAAAGGAATATGTTTGTGTAGTTCCTATTTTTGCTGTTGTTTATTTATTCATTTTTTTTTTTGGTTAATGGAAATGAAAAAGGACGGGTTGCACGAAGTTTAAACATAAACTATATAATTACAGTTGACCTCATAGTGACAGGTGTGATGATTGCTATTGGTCTTATTGGTATCATAGTTAGTGTAGCGGTATGGAAATACAGACAATGGAAGGTAGGAATATGATTAATGTCTATGGAAAATGGTACTGCAGCATTGTTTAATTTCTAAATGTGAACGTATAGCCTATCAAACCTGCGATAATCTCTTTCCTGAAAAACAAATTCATCAAAAAGATGGCTCCCCCAATTTTAGCGCAAGACACATAAGCTACGCATGAAAACTAGAGCAAAATCAGATATAGTGCAAAACTGAAAATGTACCTTGCACTGGCCTGACTAAGTATGCACGAATCACTGATTGTGTGTAAGTAGACGTGTCAGTTCTGCCCAAGATACAGGGGAGCCAAGGAGCGGTCATAATGTGTTTGGGACATCTCACAAAGTTTGAATAATTGACAAGATCAAACGTTTCGACTTAATGATACAGTAACTTGCAGATATTGTCTTAGTCTTACAACTCTTTGAAAGAATAGATGAAACAATTATCAATCTCTTTAATGATGATGCATACGACCACCTGACTGTCTGTAAAGTATGTCAAAGTTTTTGTGGCTAAATCTTGATTATCAAAAACACACTGTGCGATCTCAACTGCTAATACGACAACGTTTAATTCATCATAGTTCAATTTTCATTTTTCAATTACAAAAACCAAAGCTTTCTTTACCAATGTTTTTAGATTCGTTCAATATAGTTCACATGTTTTCCTTATTTAATGAGAGAACATCATCTATATAGCACAACGTAGAGTGAACGGATTATGCTAGCTTGTCCTAATATTGTGATAGATATTTGACATAAATTTTGGATATAGATGACGTTACAATTATTCCTTTGATTTTATGTTTCAAATGTGTCGGATAAGTACTCTAATAAACTATTGAACTTATCTCTTCTACAAAACTTCGGCTGATGCCAGACTGACCTCCTGTTGTATGTCTGGCAGAGTTTAACATAAGGTCTTAGAAGTTAGACAGCGGTCAACCTGCGTCAGCAACTTTATTTATAACTCATAAAGCATAAATTCTTTTGTTTGTTGCAATCAGTTAAGGGTTACTAGGACATTCAGAAATTAGTATATAAACTGATCAAGCCGCTATAATATTAATAGCGAGTTTCTTGATTTTCTAGGTGAGTCTCTGGATTTTGAAAACAATTTAGATTTTAAAGTATTTTTCTTTTAATTTTATTTTGGAAAAAGAATAAATAAAGTTTATAAGTAACTTATATTTAAATTCAGAGGTTGAATTTAACAGTAATTATTATTGTTATTATTTGATATTTAATTTGAATTGTTTGTAGTATTTTATTATTGTTTTATATTTATTTTGACATTCAAACTTTGTACCTTGAAATTATATTGTAATTATTTCTTTATTAAATTAATAGCGAGTTTCTTGATGTTCTAGTTTGGTTTTCTTTCCTGTTGTTGTTCCCGGCCTGCCTCTACATCGGCAACAACGCCCGGCCTGCCTTTACATCGGCAGCAATGCCATACACCACCAAAGGCATTGTTCTAAGCTAGTTCCCCCCGAACATGTAAAAATCAGAACCAGCTCTCACAGATGTAGTTCGTCTGTTGAGAGTCTGAGGGAAAAGAACAGTAAACAGACCATGCTACATTACGCAGATATCAACCAACTTCTTTTTACAATAAATGGTGGTTCATTCATTTGACACAATAATTGGTGGATTCATTTGATACAATAATTCGGATTCTCTTATTACAATAATTGGTGGAGGCCCGTTTATAAATGTTGGACGACTTTTAAAAGCTGACACCAAACATCGACATCCAGACATTACAGCATGCTAGCGTTTCGACAATTCGAACAGGAATATTTACATTTGAACATTATTTTTGTACCGTTCGGACTATTTAATTGTATATGTTTTTCCAGTAAATGATTTATTTGTGAATTAATCAGAATACACCATTAAACAACGACACCAGCTGAATATCAAAGAACATATATATAATGCCTTTTTTTCAAAGAAAACCTTTTATCAACATCAGTGACATTAATAACTTTAAAGTTATATTGTTGTGTATATTTATTGTAAACATATTTCATGAAACTGTGAGTACATCAAATGCTTATTTAAAATCTATTTTACAATCTAAATTTTAAATTTTAAATTTTCAGCTATGAAACAAAATGTTCATTCTCATTTCACAAATCGTATTGAGTTTCATGTCTTAAAATTTTTAGAAAAACTTTATTAAAATACTGTTAAAATAAGTTATAAAATTATTTTGATAAAATGTTGTAAAATTTTATTCATTTAAATCATCCATTGAATAACTTTTCAGAATGATGTTAATTAGAACTATGTTTGTATTTCAAACGCTTGTCAATATTATCATTTGCAATCAGTCATCTTTAAGATTAGGTTCAACTTTCATTTAGGGTAACAGAAAGTAAATTTTCTTGTTTGTAAGTTACCTAATAGGAACAAGTTAGACAAATTCTTGTTGCCGTTTACTGTTGGATAATCTAATACCGGTACAAAGTAATAATAATTTAATATATATATATATATATATGCAAGCATATTGCATAGGCTACCTGAATAGCAGGGACGCCACACAAATACTAAATAAAGGGCTACCTCAGGAGCAGGGACGCCACAAATACTTAACAAAAAGGGCTACCTCAGGAGCAGGGACGCCACAAATATTTAATATAATGGGTAACCTCAGAAGCAGGAACGCCATAAAAACGATTAAACAGTAACTTAGAGACTGAAGTAAGCAATTCAAATTCTGTTAAAGTTTTATTCTAGTCTTTTCATATTTCATATATTTTTGCAACATTTTGTTTAAACACTTTGCATATATTTTTAATTATAAATTTCATTAACTGTACATGTAAAAATAAACGTTCAATTGTAAGCATGCGGGTAACAAACTTTCAAGAACAACGATTTAAAATTAATACCAAAATATTGTAACATCATAGACATCAATTGATTTATAAAGAATTACAATAAAACCACCAATCAAACAGTATGATTAACATGCAGTCTCAAAAATGGAAAAAAAGGAAAAAAAAAGAGAAAAATATTTAAAAAAAGAGGATTCAAGTTTTTTTTTTTATCGCTTAAAATCAAAAACAAAATACTGTACTTTAATTTATTTTTTTTTTGCATCGCAATCTTCTCAATTGCTTGTCTTCTATATTGTTTTGAGGTTTAATATGGATATTAATTATTTATTTACGTTAATAATTAAAAGTTATAAATCCATTTTCAGATTAATATAGTAAACATAAAATTGTATGCAATTTCTTTAAAATATTTTTTTTTTATTTATTCAATTTTGGAGTCAAAAATTTCTAAGGAGAGTGATATATTGTGATAGATATTTGACATAAACTTTGGATATAGATGACGTTACAATTATTCCTTTGATTTTATGTTTCAAATGTGTCGGATAAGTACTCTAATAAACTATTGAACTTATCTCTTCTATAAAACTTCGGCTGATGCCAGACTGACCTCCTGTTGTATGTCTGGCAGAGTTTAACATAAGGTCTTAGAAGTTAGACAGCGGTCAACCTGCGTCAGCAACTTTATTTATAACTCATAAAGCATAAATTCTTTTGTTTGTTGCAATCAGTTAAGGGTTACTAGGACATTCAGAAATTAGTATATAAACTGATCAAGCCGCTATAATATTAATAGCGAGTTTCTTGATTTTCTAGGTGAGTCTCTGGATTTTGACAATAATTTAGATTTTAAAGTATTTTTCTTTTAATTTTATTTTGGAAAAAGAATAAATAAAGTTTATAAGTAACTAATATTTTAATTCAGAGGTTGAATTTAACAGTAATTATTATTGTTATTATTTGATATTTAATTTGAATTGTTTGTAGTATTTTATTATTGTTTTATATTTATTTTGACATTCAAACTTTGTACCTTGAAATTATATTGTAATTATTTCTTTATTAAATTAATAGCGAGTTTCTTGATGTTCTAGTTTGGTTTTCTTTCCTGTTGTTGTTCCCGGCCTGCCTCTACATCGGCAACAACGCCCGGCCTGCCTTTACATCGGCAGCAATGCCATACACCACCAAAGGCATTGTTCTAAGCTAGTTCCCCCCGAACATGTAAAAATCAGAACCAGCTCTCACAGATGTAGTTCGTCTGTTGAGAGTCTGAGGGAAAAGAACAGTAAACAGACCATGCTACATTACGCAGATATCAACCAACTTCTTTTTACAATAAATGGTGGTTCATTCATTTGACACAATAATTGGTGGATTCATTTGATACAATAATTCGGATTCTCTTATTACAATAATTGGTGGAGGCCCGTTTATAAATGTTGGACGACTTTTAAAAGCTGACACCAAACATCGACATCCAGACATTACAGCATGCTAGCGTTTCGACAATTCGAACAGGAATATTTACATTTGAACATTATTTTTGTACCGTTCGGACTATTTAATTGTATATGTTTTTCCAGTAAATGATTTATTTGTGAATTAATCAGAATACACCATTAAACAACGACACCAGCTGAATATCAAAGAACATATATATAATGCCTTTTTTTCAAAGAAAACCTTTTATCAACATCAGTGACATTAATAACTTTAAAGTTATATTGTTGTGTATATTTATTGTAAACATATTTCATGAAACTGTGAGTACATCAAATGCTTATTTAAAATCTATTTTACAATCTAAATTTTAAATTTTAAATTTTCAGCTATGAAACAAAATGTTCATTCTCATTTCACAAATCGTATTGAGTTTCATGTCTTAAAATTTTTAGAAAAACTTTATTAAAATACTGTTAAAATAAGTTATAAAATTATTTTGATAAAATGTTGTAAAATTTTATTCATTTAAATCATCCATTGAATAACTTTTCAGAATGATGTTAATTAGAACTATGTTTGTATTTCAAACGCTTGTCAATATTATCATTTGCAATCAGTCATCTTTAAGATTAGGTTCAACTTTCATTTAGGGTAACAGAAAGTAAATTTTCTTGTTTGTAAGTTACCTAATAGGAACAAGTTAGACAAATTCTTGTTGCCGTTTACTGTTGGATAATCTAATACCGGTACAAAGTAATAATAATTTAATATATATATATATATATGCAAGCATATTGCATAGGCTACCTGAATAGCAGGGACGCCACACAAATACTAAATAAAGGGCTACCTCAGGAGCAGGGACGCCACAAATACTTAACAAAAAGGGCTACCTCAGGAGCAGGGACGCCACAAATATTTAATATAATGGGTAACCTCAGAAGCAGGAACGCCATAAAAACGATTAAACAGTAACTTAGAGACTGAAGTAAGCAATTCAAATTCTGTTAAAGTTTTATTCTAGTCTTTTCATATTTCATATATTTTTGCAACATTTTGTTTAAACACTTTGCATATATTTTTAATTATAAATTTCATTAACTGTACATGTAAAAATAAACGTTCAATTGTAAGCATGCGGGTAACAAACTTTCAAGAACAACGATTTAAAATTAATACCAAAATATTGTAACATCATAGACATCAATTGATTTATAAAGAATTACAATAAAACCACCAATCAAACAGTATGATTAACATGCAGTCTCAAAAATGGAAAAAAAGGAAAAAAAAAGAGAAAAATATTTAAAAAAAGAGGATTCAAGTTTTTTTTTTTTATCGCTTAAAATCAAAAACAAAATACTGTACTTTAATTTATTTTTTTTTTGCATCGCAATCTTATCAATTGCTTGTCTTCTATATTGTTTTGAGGTTTAATATGGATATTAATTATTTATTTACGTTAATAATTAAAAGTTATAAATCCATTTTCAGATTAATATAGTAAACATAAAATTGTATGCAATTTCTTTAAAATATTTTTTTTTTATTTATTCAATTTTGGAGTCAAAAATTTCTAAGGAGAGTGATATATTGTGATAGATATTTGACATAAATTTTGGATATAGATGACGTTACAATTATTCCTTTGATTTTATGTTTCAAATGTGTCGGATAAGTACTCTAATAAACTATTGAACTTATCTCTTCTATAAAACTTCGGCTGATGCCAGACTGACCTCCTGTTGTATGTCTGGCAGAGTTTAACATAAGGTCTTAGAAGTTAGACAGCGGTCAACCTGCGTCAGCAACTTTATTTATATCTCATAAAGCATAAATTCTTTTGTTTGTTGCAATCAGTTAAGGGTTACTAGGACATTCAGAAATTAGTATATAAACTGATCAAGCCGCTATAATATTAATAGCGAGTTTCTTGATTTTCTAGGTGAGTCTCTGGATTTTGACAATAATTTAGATTTTAAAGTATTTTTCTTTTAATTTTATTTTGGAAAAAGAATAAATAAAGTTTATAAGTAACTAATATTTTAATTCAGAGGTTGAATTTAACAGTAATTATTATTGTTATTATTTGATATTTAATTTGAATTGTTTGTAGTATTTTATTATTGTTTTATATTTATTTTGACATTCAAACTTTGTACCTTGAAATTATATTGTAATTATTTCTTTATTAAATTAATAGCGAGTTTCTTGATGTTCTAGTTTGGTTTTCTTTCCTGTTGTTGTTCCCGGCCTGCCTCTACATCGGCAACAACGCCCGGCCTGCCTTTACATCGGCAGCAATGCCATACACCACCAAAGGCATTGTTCTAAGCTAGTTCCCCCCGAACATGTAAAAATCAGAACCAGCTCTCACAGATGTAGTTCGTCTGTTGAGAGTCTGAGGGAAAAGAACAGTAAACAGACCATGCTACATTACGCAGATATCAACCAACTTCTTTTTACAATAAATGGTGGTTCATTCATTTGATACAATAATTGGTGGATTCATTTGATACAATAATTCGGATTCTCTTATTACAATAATAATTCTTTCTTAGAAGATCCGAAGTGAAGTCTGACTCAGGCAAATGAAAAAAAAGAGCGACAAGAAGAGGAGCACATTTGGTTTCCAAATGGATGCTGATTTATTTTTATAAAAACAAATACCTAGTCCAAACGTAAGAATATATTATCAATCAGGAAATCAAGCACCTTGAGAATGTCTGTTCCAAAAATTGTTTTGCTCTAATAAGAGTGCCTTTTAACAAAATATGTGTTATCCCTTTCTTAAGGGCGTAGACCTTGGTAATCCAAACATATTCCTCTTGTTTCATTTTTCTTATATTTGGACCATTGAAAAAGTAAGGTCCATGCATCATCTCTTCATATTGTTGAAGTCTTGTTGAAATTCCAAGTTGCATTTTATGTTTAGGGTATATTGAATATGACTAGTTTCGAGATACCATAAAAAAACGGCCGAAAACACAAGTAGGCATATATTTCTGTGTGTGTTTGCACATGTTCACATTAGGAATACTCATGGCTGCTAAAATGAGAAGTAGAAACATATTTTAAAGTAAATCTGAAATATCATGTTAATAAGCCTTAATTAAAATAAATGTTTTCAAATTGTTGATAATGCGAATATTCTGGGAAGCTCAGATAACACATTTATTTTTCGAATTCTGCCTAAAGAATGATTTGTCGTGTAATTCCTGCAAAAAAATGTTAAAAAAAATATTGGTTATAAGTCAACATTTATTAAATTTGACCGTTTGAATTTTTCAAAATCTTTAAACAAGTTGGCTTACAGGCACAAGAAAAAAGGAAAATTTTTTGGACAAAATTCATTTTTTTCAATACACAACCTTCTACATCCTCTCTTAGCATTCTTTCCGTGTGCTTAAGTGAAAATTGCATTTCCTAATAATAATTGTTGTCATGTTTATAAGGAAAAACAGTAATATTCATTATGGGACAAATGCCCTTGGCACGAACATTATGTATTAGTTTCTCTTCCCAGACGACAAAATGTCCCTGTTATCAGTAAACAGACCCTATTGAAATTCATTGTTTTGACAGTCTGTCACTATCTAAGTACTATCTTAGTGCTAATGTAGATTATATGTTAGGATTAATTTGTACTAGGATGGATGTTCAGATCATATCTTCTAGAATAGTGCCGTTTTTATTCAAAAACCAAACCATACAGTTCAGAACAGCCTATTTACCAAAAACTTAGCACTAAAACCTTATAACTTCATTATATAATCCATATTTTTCCAATTCAATGTTTCTCAAATTTTCAAGTTTTTATCTAAATGATTTTACAAGACACGGAGTCGTTCAAAACAATTCTCAGTAAATAGGCGTTTTTTGTATGAATTTCATGTATGAATGGTAATGTTCTACCTATTCAGCTTTGGATTATGTAGCTTCAAAAAGAAACAGTGCATTAATTTAATGTTTGGTGTCGTCTTACTTGTCCAATTTTCCTAGATCTTGCTGCTTCATTCTCACAGCCAACTATAAACAACATAAATGCTTCATCGCTGTTTCAATTTTATGCTAGGTAATAAACGCACAAATGACTTCCAATACATTTGTAAGAGTTGTTTCCATTACCTCTGGTCCACCCCCTTACATACGATATGTTTTTGCACATTCTTTAAAACGAAATCATACGTAGGACACATTCTTTCAATCTGTCATTATGTTTTGCATAGAGTGTCTGTTGTATAGGGTAAACAAGTCAAGTACGTTTTTACTATTGCAAGAGTATGGTTAAACTGTGTGAGTGATCGACGAAAGTCTGTATTCAAAGATAAAGAAGCTGTGAAATGTCTATCATCTCTTCACGATAAATGTTTTGTTGTTCCTGCGGACAAAGCTTCAAATAACATTGTTTTTGTATGTAAATCGTACGACTACGAGTGTCTTGTAAAAGAATTAAGAATAAATTAGCACTTATGTAATCCCACATACAAAACATACCATTTGGATAGGATGAGATTTGTCCAAATCATAGGTCCTTCAGGGCTTCAATAAACATTACATTGAACAGCAAATCTGAGTACTTACCTTATTTGAATTGGATACTTTAGCTTCACAAAATTCGGTACAAGCAATGGTACATTGCAGGCTTATCTGTATATTCTACAAAGGAATTGTCCATAAGATTAACCAAAATTCTGTCCACAGTGAAAGATGGTCTTCAGAAATACCGTCAAACTGTTTACTCGCATAGTGGTATTAACAATATGTGGATTATGAAAACTCTGGATAACTTTAAATCTCAATCTTCCTCTGAAATTAATTATATCAAACCTTTAATTGTTTAACCCTTTACACCACCATTCCCCATGTGAAATTGAAAATCGTCTGAAAGAAAAAAAAACCACAATGCTTTTCAATATACAAATGGTAAAAATTGCTTTGAGATACCAGACAGTATATTTTTTAACAGTGAACAAAAAGTTAAAACATGCAACACCGAGGAAAAAGTGATCA